AAAAATTGTGCGCATGAGTTCTATTGGGAAAGTGTCATCAATTATAACCACAGCCACACGCAGTGAAATTAGCAGTGGCCTTGATCCATCGCAGTGCGAGCGGCTGTGGGGGGCGAGCCAGTGAGTGAGGCTTGGGCTCAGCTTGGAGCGGGTGGGGGGGTGAGGTGTGACAGTGGTGTGGGAGTGCAGCCCTGCACACCGTAGACAAGACTGTGCGTGGCGGCTCCATCTTATTATTGCAGCTGTTCCTCACATTCGATGGGAGCCTCTGAGATGGCTGCCTGTGTGAGAGGCTGTGTCAGACTGAGAAGCGGTGAGAGACTGTGTCAGAGGCTGTGAGAGGTTTGTGAGGCTGTGTGAGAGGCTATGAGAGGCTGTGTTAGGCTGTATGAGACTCTGAGATGCAATGAACGAGTTGAGACGCGTGTAGATGACGCATTGACACCGTGTCCCCACAGCTTACCGACTGACGTCGCACGCAAATAATTCCCCTGGCCCTGCTTGGCCCCCCGAGGCAGACTCGGGCGTTTTGTGAGACCAGCGTTCCGTGGCCGCATTACGTCGCTACGTTATCCGGCGCGTTTAACGGGCCAATACGGATCCGTTCCAGGGGAAGTCCACTCTGAACTCGAGCCACGCATTCCACCCAGCGCAATGCGCCCCCACGCAGCATGCCACTTGCCATCGGGCCAGGGGGTGAAGGCACAGCCGGACGAGCGTGAAGCAGATGACCACGTCCAGGGGTCCAACTGCTTTTTTCAACGGGGGGGGGGGGTGGGTCCCGGGGTGGTAGGGTGGGCCCCGGGGGGCGGGGGTGGGCCCCCACCTCCTTTCTCCCGACTCACTTTTACTGAAATAGCTACGGATGTTTTGAACCCCGTATACAATAATATGTGGGCTATAACTATATCTACATTATTGTTCTCTTTTTTTATATATATTAAACGTTTCGCTACATTTTTTACTGGTTTATCTGGTTGATTCGCCCCCCCCCCCCCCCCTTGTGGCCGATCTGGGCCCCTATGCATCGCATAATGCTGCCACACACCCCCCATATTTGCTCCTCCGGCCACATCGCATCGGTGACGGAGCCAACCGGATGGGGTGAACACACACGGTGGTGCTGGTGAAGAAGGCTGCATAGTCCAGACGTTCTGGAACCGAGTGCCTCGCAGCGATCTCGCTGTGTCGTCGATGCAACGCTCCGTAGACGTCCTGTGCAAATTGCCCAGAGCGGGAGATGGGGGGGGGGGGTCGAGCTCGTCACACACGCGATGCGCTCCTGCGACGCAACTCGATTGAAGGGGGGGGGGCTGCGTTGATCACCTTCTGGTACCCCCCTAGGGGGGGGGGTAGTAAGAGGCGGCTTAGTCTACCGTGTGGAGTCTCGGTGGGGCATCCGAGGGCTGTGCGTTGGCGCAAGTGGCACGAGCTGTCGGCTGGGCGCGACAGAATTGAGCCAACAGCAGGTGACGTCCTCGTGCTCGGCTTCGGGGATATGGACGACCGAAACTGCTTTTCGCGTTCAGTTTTTGTTGTCCCTGCCACTCGCCTCCGATTAGTACAGTTTGACGACATACGGTGCGAGAGAAGTTCAACATATGTACACACGTATGTACACACGTATGTACGATGAAGCGGAGCGTGACCACGGCAATGACCTCCAGGCACGCGGGGACCGGTGCAGGCTCGGTGAACCTGAAGCTTGGCCTGAAGGAGCTGCAATTCAAAGTGAAGGGAGGTCCGCTTCCATGGACACATTCCCGTCCTCAAAAGGCTTGAAAGCCAACCTCCGGGACAAATTCGGAGCCATCTCAGAGATGCCACAGCCCACCGATGTGAAATCGGTGCAGCGATACATCGTGGTTGTTAACTACTGAGCCAAGTTTAAGCCTTGCCTGTCAGAGGTGTGTGTGTGTGTGAGCCTTTGACTGCTCCTGGACAATGATGCAGCCTGGCACTGGCTTCCAAAACGTTGCGGGGCATAAAGCAGCCGGCCACAGCTATGCCAATGTTCAAATGGATGCCACGGTCATGAGATGTTAGCTAGCTCGCCTGGTATGCAGGAGGTCGTGGGTTCGATCCCGACCCTGACGCCTGCTGTGTATTTGGAGTCTGTGTCTCTCTCTCATCATCATCACGGTGGCTAGGAGATGTTAACTACCTCGCCTGGTATGCAGGAGGTCGTAGGTTCGATCCCAACCTTGACGCCTGCTGCTGTATATTTGGAGTATGTGTCTCTCTCTCATCATCATCACCACGGTGGCTAAGAGATATTAACTACCTCTCCTGGTATGCAGGAGGTCGTGGGTTCGATCCCGACCCTGACGCCTGCTGTGTATTTGGAGTCTGCGTCTCTCTCTCATCATCATCACGGTGGCTAGGAGATGTTAACTACCTCGCCTGGTATGCAGGAGGTCGTGGGTTCGATCCAGACCCTGACGCCTGCTGCTGTATATTTGGAGTTTGCATGTTCACTCTTCCCGTGGTCACGTGGATTTTTCTCCGGGTCCTCTGTTATTTTCCCTCCATATTTAGAAACGTGCGTTTCGAGTGTTTGGCTGCTATAAATTTCCACGTGATAAACCACTTCGTTTGGCTATCATTACGTGTGGCCAGGTCGCTTCTGAAAAAGAGCTGTATAGCCCAGTAGTACTTACTTGGTAAAATATTTCTTTTAACAGTTTTAGTTTTGTTAAGTACCACAACATTACGTAGCCCGTCGCCATACAGCAGGTCCACCCCGTCGCCTTCGCGTCTGGGGCGCCGACCCAAAACCAAACAGAACCGCACGCCCACGTAGAAACGGAACGCCCTGAGCAGACAGTTCACCGGGCCGCGTTTCCACACCGGTTCTACGGCCGAGGAGCGACCGCAGCGGAAAAACGGACCCCACACCTCCTTGCAGTTGTTTTCAAGAAGCCCCTCCCCCGCCCCTCTTGAATGCTCCGGAGATGACTTCAGAATGCCCTGTTATAACTTCACAACGCTACGGACCTTGATGTCGCCCTGCACGGCCCGGAGATGTACATCAGCGGCACGCTCGGCAGAGCGACGGCAGCAGACGGGACGTCCCGGAGGCAGTGTGAGGGTCGTGCAGCAGGTCGATCACAGGCTGCGCCGGCGTGTGCGGCGCACTGCGAGAGATGGAGGTCTACGAGGCGTGTGACGTCCGTTGTTCTGACCTGATGGCCAGAGACAAAGGGTGAGATCCTGGAGTGCATTGTGGGAGAACACCGGCCATCGCCACAAAGCTACTGTGACAGGAGACACTCACGGCCACATTGGAGGAGAAGCTCGGATACGGAGCAGACACACAACTCCCCTTCCTGGCAAAATCAAAGCCTTTGTTAGCAGTTCTTCAGCATGCAATGAGTGCACGCGCAGCAGAAAGAAACCCCTGATGTCAACTTGAATCCTGACACAGCCCTGGCAGATTGTCGGCGTGGACTTCTTCAACAACACAAGCCGAGGATTACCTGCTGATTGTCGACCGCCCCTGGGAACTTCTGAGGAAATCGAGTTGTTGCGGCTTCCATGTCACGATCGTACGGAGTCCTCGTCGGCAGCGGAGCTCCAATTTTGCACTTCAGCGATTTCCCGCGGTCGATATGTCAAAGAACCTGAGGAAGAAAGCTAAAGGCGAGGTTAAACACTCCTGGAAAGCCATCTTGCATTGGAGGAAAACGCCAACAGAGGGACCGGATAGCAGCCCATCACAGCACCCACTCTCTAGAAGGCGGAAGGCATGTTTGGCAGTGAGCCCCGTGTGGGTAACGGAGAAGCTGTCGAAGCAGGTGCACGATACATCCGCCGGAGACATGCCCGAGTTGAGCATCGGGGAACCTTTCCGCGTGAAGCCGTCGCGTGTAGACGGAGCAGGCCGCCGCCGGTAGACTGGGCCGCCCCACTGTGCGTGCGGAGAGCCGCGCCGCGCACGAGCGGACAGCCATATTGCCTGTGCACCTCGTGCATGCCCAATGGAATCCTCGAGCGCCATGACCAAGTGGATTTTCAAGCCGCGGAAGGGACGGCCATGCGGACCCGGTGCGCGCGGACCGCTTGCGCCGGCCTGCCAGAGGTGCCCACTTGGGGACGGGACAAGCCCGAGGAGAGGAGGGTTTTGCAGTGGAGGCGCCTGACTGTTTGGCTTTTAATTGTTCACGTGGAAAGGGGGAGATGTTAAGGAAGGCGCATGATGGAGCCGCCGCTCCGCGTTACGCTCTTGTCTCTGGATGAGGGAAGTTAACCATGGTGTCAAGCCTGACGTCGTAATTTCACGCATCGATAAAAAATGCCGTACGTCTCGATTCTGGCTCGGTAATGGTCCAGTGGAAAACCACCCATGCCGTGGTGGGCCCGTACTGGCTCTGATGTACCAGTGTAAAAGGGGTCTGTCTCACCGACGATCAGTGTCTCTGTTACTCTGTTTGATTGTGCACTGTGATTAGACCCCAGAGTGAGCGTGCAGTTGTGTAGGTGGCGGTGTGTGCCTGTGCACATGTGTGCATGCAGTGCCGGATTGTGACGGTAGTCATGTGTATTCTTAGGTGTTTTTGGTAAAGTCACGTAGGCAAAAAATAAAAATTAATCAAAGTAAAATAAAAATAAAATAAAAATCACGACGTTTCGGAGGTAACACAAGCTTCCGTCTTCAGGTGGAACCGTCACAGCACGATAGCTGCATCAAGTGAGAGAAATTCCAAGAAAACAGTCGTGGTATATATACTGGTTGAGGGTGGGAGTAGCAAAGGTAGGCCCTGAATATTATTAAATAATATTATTATTGGAATTTCTCTCACTTGATACAGCTATCGTGCTGTGACGGTTCCACCTGAAGACGGAAGCTTGAGTTGCCTCCGAAACGTCGTGATTTTTATTTTATTTTTATTTTACTTTTATTTTACCTACGTTACTTTACCAAAAAAACCTAAGAATATGAATCTTTGCAGTCACGAAAGCTTCAAATCTAGAATTAAGGTTGTCATGTGGTTGTACAGGTGGATGTGAATACGAGTTTACTGCGAGCGGCTCGTGCTGGGAACCTGGAGAAGGTTCTGGAGCTCCTGAAAGCCGGGACTGACATCCACACAACAAACCAGGTGTGAGACTCACTCGCCTGCACCCTCATGCACTCGCTCAGTTAATCACTCACCCACTCATTCACCTGCTCACACACTCACTCGCCTACTCAATCACTCACTGACCCACTCGCTCGGTTACTCATACACGCACCCAATCACCCACTGACGAATACACTCACTCGCCCATTCACCCTATCACCTGCTCACTCACTCACTCGCCTACTCAATCGCTCACTGACCCACTCGCTCGGTTACTCATACACTCACCCAATCACCCACTGACAAATACACTCACTCGCCCATTCACCCTATCACCTGCTCACACACTCACTCGCCTACTCAATCGCTCACTGACCCACTCGCTCGGTTACTCATACACTCACCCAATCACCCACTGACTAATACACTCACTCGCCCATTCACCCTATCTATCACCTGCTAACTCACTCACTCGCCTACTCAATCACTCACTGACCCACTCGCTCGGTTACTCATACACTCACCCAATCACCCACTGACTAATACACTCACTCGCCCATTCACCCTATCTATCACCTGCTAACTCACTCACTCGCCTACTCAATCACTCACTGACCCACTCGCTCGGTTACTCATACACTCACCCAATCACCCACTGACTAATACACTCACTCGCCCATTCACCCTATCACCTGCTCACTCACTCACTCGCCCACTCACACACGATCAGCTGCGTGCCTCGTGTTGGGTGATGCTCCGTCGCCGTGTCGCGTTGTTTTGTGCGCAACGCGGCTCGATCCCTTGTCGCCCTCGCGTGGCCTCTGTCACCCTCGCCGCGTGCCGCTCATTCCCACGAGCAGGCGCTGTGTGTGTGGCGCTATGTGTGTGTGGCTCTGTGCGTGTCATGTTTTGTGTGTGTGGCGCTGTGTGTGATGTGCTGTGTGTGTGGAGCTGTGTGTGTGGCTCTGTGCGTGTGATGTGCTGTGTGTGTGTGGCGCTGTGTGTGTGGCGCTGTGCGTGTGATGTGCTGTGTGTGTGTGGCTCTGTGTGTGTGGCTCTGTGCGTGTGATGTGCTGTGTGTGTGGCGCTGTGCGTGTCATGTTTTGTGTGTGTGGCGCTGTGCGTGTGTGGCTCTGTGTGTGTGATGTGCTGTGTGTGTGGCGCTATGTGTGTGGTGCTGTGTGTGTGATGTGCTGTGTGTGTGGTGTGTGTGATGTGCTGTGTGTGTGTGGCGCTGTGTGTGTGATGTGCTGTGCGCGTGATGTGCTGTGTGTGTGATGTGCTGTGTGTGTGGCGCTGTGACGCTTTGTGTGATCCTCAGAATGGGCTGAACGCGCTGCACTTGGCTGCCAAGGAGGGCCACGTCGCGTTGGTGAAGGAGTTACTGACTCGCGGGTCAGAAGTTGATTCTACAACCAAGGTGAGCGAGTAGGTGGGTGGGTGGGCGAGTGGGTAACTGAGTGAGTGGGTGGGTGGCTGAGTGAGTGGGTGGCTGAGTGAGAGAGTGGATGTGCGAATGAGTACGCAGAGCGGTAGTATAGCGGTGAGTGCGCTGCGCTACGAACCCGGTGACCCGAATTCGATTGCCGCTCACGGCCAACACCAGCGACGGTTATCTGAATGGGTCCTGGGCCTCCCCGAGCTCGAATCAGCCTCAAATGAGTACCTGGTGCGGGGTTTAAACGTCGCCACTGGGGAGACAAAGGCGGTCGTTCATGGTGTTGGCCACCCACCCCTCATGTGCCGTGCCGGCCTTCATCGGTGCTCACTAACAGCTATATGGGGGATCTAGTTTTTTTGGGTGAGCGAGTGATTGGGTGAGCGAGGTCGGTGTTTTGTGGTCACCTGGGCTTTGGTCGTTGTGATAAAATAGTCGCTCTGGTAGACCGAGTCGTGTGTGTGTGTGCGTGCGTGTGTGTGTGCGTGCGTGTGCGTGTGTCCATGTGTGTGTGTCCATGTGTGTGTGTCCGTGTGTGTGTGTAGGTGCGTGCGTGTGTGTGTGCGTGTGGGGAGCGGTCGTGTAGCGGTAAGTGCGCTGCGCTACGAACCTGGCGACCCGAGTTCGATTCCCGCACAGTCAATACCCAGTGACGATTATCTGAACCGGTCCTGGGCCTCCCCTAGGTCGACTCAGCCTCAAATGAGTACCTGGTGTGGTGTGTAAACATCGCCACTAGGGAGACAAAGGCGGCCGGGCGTGGTGTTGGCCACCCACCCCCTCGTGTGCCGTGCCGGCCTTTATAGGTTCTCACTAACAGCACTTGCCCCCACAGTCTGTTAAGGCTATACGGGAGATCTTTGTCTTTGTCTTGTGTGTGTGTGCGTGTGTCCGTGTGCGTGCGTGTGTGTGCGTGTGCGCATGCGTGTGTGCGTGTGTGTGTGTGTCCGTGCGCGTGTGTGTGCGTATCTCTCCACAGAAAGGGAACACGGCTCTGCACATCGCCTCGTTAGCTGGGCAGACAGAGGTCGTGACCCTGCTCACCGAACATGGAGCTGACGTCAATGCGCAGTCAGAGGTAATGACATGTGTGTTTGGGAACGTGTGTGTGTGGGTTTGTGCATGTGTGTGCACATGTGTGTGCACGTGCCCGTGTGTGTGTGTATGTTCACATGCGTATGCAGGTGTTTGTAGGGGGAGCAGTGGTACATCAGTTCGCGCGCTGCACTGTGAATCCAGCGATCCGAGTTCGATTCCCGCTCACGGCCAACACCAGTGACAATTATGTGAACCGGTACTGGGCCTCCCCTAGGTCGACTCAGTCTCAAATGAATACGTGGAGCGGTGTGTAAACTTCGCAACTAGGGAGCCAAAGGAGGCCGGGTGTGGTGCTGGTTTTCATAAGCGCTGGCTAACAGCGCTTGCCCCAGCAGCCTCTGTGGGCTACACGGGGGACCTCTGTCTGTATCTCGTGCAGAATGGATTCACGGCGCTCTACATGGCCGCCCAGGAGAACCACGTGGCCGTCGTCACCCACCTGCTGGGCACCGGGGCCAACCAGGCCATCGCCACCGAGGTGCACACACACACACATGCACACGCATGGGCACACGTGCCCAGACACGCGTGCGCGCGCCCGCACGCACACGCACACATACGTGCGCCCCATGTGTCCCGGGCGGGCCGTGAGATCCATGTGTACTATGTTTCCTGTGTGGGCCGTGTGTGGGCCTTGTGTGGGCCGTGTGGGCCATGTGTACTATGTTTCCCGTGCAGGCCGTAGGGGCCTTGTGTACTATGTGGCCCGTGCGGGCCTTGTATATTTTGCCGTGTGTACTATGCGTCCCGTGCTTCCCATGTGCCGCGTGTGCCACGTGTGCCATGCGTACCACGTGTGTCATGCGTACCACGTGTGCCGCGTGTGCCACGTGTACCGCGTGTGCCATGCGTACCACGTGTGCCACGTGTGCCATGCGTACCACGTGTGCCATGCGTACCATGTGTGCCGCTGTGCAGGACGGCTTCACGCCGCTGGCCGTGGCGCTGCAGCAGGCCCACGAGCGTGTGGTGGAGCTGCTGCTGGAGGGCGACGCGCGCGGCCGCGTGCGCCTCCCCGCGCTGCACATCGCCGCGCGCAAGGACGACACTCGCAGTGCCGCGCTGCTGCTGCACAGCGGCACCAACGGCAGCAGCAGTGGCAGCACGCAGCAGCAGCAGCCGGAGAGCGAGCACGCCAAGGTGTGCCCTCCGCACAAGCGCCATGCCACGCGCACACCACGCGCGTCAACGCGAGTGAACCGCATCTCTGCGTCTCTCCCTCCTCAATCATCCCCATCTCTGTCTCTCTCTGTGCCGTGTGCGTGACACAGGCCCTGGTGAACCGCACCACGGAGGTGAGCACCCGGCTCGTGGGAGCGACACGGACGCCCCTTTCCACTGGCACATACGAGCCATTCCACCTCCGTCGCACGCGACGGACGAGTCGCACGCAGATGAGGCAGCGGTGGCGCGCTGTGCCCTCGCCCGCTCGCTCATCCACACACCCAACCTCTCACCCGCTCGCCCGCTCGCTCACCCACACACCCAACCGCTCACCCGCTCGCCCGCTCGCTCACCCACACACCCAACCGCTCACTCGCTCGCCTGCTCAGTGCGAGTGGAGTTTGCGTATTCTCTGTATGGGTTTCCTCTGGGCTCTCTCCAGTTTGCCCCTCCAATAGCTAAACCCCCACACCCGGTGGAACTGGGCGCCACACTCTGCGAGCGTCTCCGCTCGGTGCCCTTCTTCACCGGCGTGGCGCGCGGAGCAGTTGTACCCCCCCCCCCCCGCCCCCCTCGGGTCGTGCGGCTCTGCCGAGTCTCCTCCGTAAGCCTGGATGCTGCGGCAAACACGGATGTGGTGGCGAGTTCAGGAGGTTGTGGCAAGCACGGATGTGGTGACGAGTCCGGGATGTTGTGGCGTGTCTGGATGTTGTGGTGAGACCGGGATGTTGTGGTGAGGCCGGGATGTTGTGTCGAGTCTGGATGTGGTCCCCTCCCCTGTCCGTGTGGTGGTGCAGAGTGGGTTCACGCCGCTGCACATCGCCGCTCACTATGGCAATGTCAACGTCGCCCGGCTCCTGCTGGAGTGTGGAGCCGACCCCAACTACATGGCCAACGTAACCACCACTACCACAACCACTACAGCCACCATCACAACTACCACCACTACCACAACCACTACAGCCACCATGACAACTACCACTACTACCACTACAGCCACCACAACTACTACCACCACTACCACCACAACCACTACAGCCACCACAACCACTATAGTCACCACCACTACCACCACCACCACAACTAGCATGGGTGGGTGTGTACGTGCATGTGCTTGTGGGGAGCAATAGTGTAGCGGTTAGCGCGCTGCGCTATGAACCTAGCGACCCGGGTTCGATTCCCGCTCACGGCCAACACCAGTGACGATTATCTGAACCGGTCCTGGGCCTCCCCTAGGTCGACTCAGCCTGAAATGAGTACCTGGTGTGGTGTGTAAACATCGCCATTGGGGAGACAAAGGCGGTCGGGCGTGGTGCTGGCCACCCACCCCCTCGTGTACCGTTCCGGCCTTCATAGGTGCTCGCTAACTGCACTTGCCCCTACAGTCTGTTAAGGCTATACGGGGGATCTTTATCTTTGTCTTTGCTTGTACGTGCGCGTGTGCAGAACGGGATCTCTCCGCTGCACGTTGCGGCGAAGCGAGGCCACTCGGAGCTCGTGACGCTGCTGCTCAGCCAGGGGGGCAACATCGACGCACGCACCAGGGTGAGGCTCACACCACAGCACCACAACGCCACACGCACCACGCCCACAACACACACAACACCACACGCACTGCACCCACAACACCACACGCACCACGCCCACAACACCACACGCACCACGCCCACAACACCACACGCACCGCACCCACAACACCACACGCACCGCACCCACAACACCACACGCACCGCGCCCACAACACCACACGCACCGCACCCACAACACCACACGCACCGCGCCCACAACACCACACGCACCGCGCCCACAACACCACACGCACCGCGCCCACAACACCACACGCACCGCGCCCACAACACCACACGCACCGCGCCCACAACACCACACGCACCGCACCCACAACACCACACGCACAGCACCCACAACACCACACGCACCGCACCCACAACACCACACGCACCGCGCCCACAACACCACACGCACCGCACCCACAACACCACACGCACCGCGCCCACAACACCACACGCACCGCACCCACAACACCACACGCACCGCACCACAACACCACACGCACCGCGCCCACAACACCACACGCACCGCACCCACAACACCACACGCACCGCACCCACAACACCACACACACCGCGCCCACAACACCACACGCACCGCACCCACAACACCACACGCACCGCACCCACAACACCACACGCACCGCACAACAACACCACACGCACCGCACCCACAACACCACACGCACCGCACCGCACCCACAACACCACACGCACCGCACCGCACCCACAGCACCGCACCACAACACCACACGCACCGCACCCACAACACCACACGCACCACACCACAACACCACACGCACCGCACCACAACACCACACGCACCGCACCCACAACACCACACGCACCGCACCACAACACCACACGCACCGCACCCACAACACCACACGCACCACACCACAACACCACACGCACCACACCACAACACCACACGCACCGCGCCCACAACACCACACGCACCGCACCCACAACACCACACACACCGCACCCACAACACCACATGCACCACGCCCACAACACCACACGCACCGCACCACAACACCACACGCACCGCACCCACAACACCACACACACCACGCCCACAACACCACACGCACCACACCACAACACCACACGCACCGCACCCACAACACCACACACACCACAACACCACACGTACCACGCCCACAACACCACACGCACCGCCCCCACAACACCACACGCACCGCACCCACAACACCACACACACCACAACACCACACGTACCACGCCCACAACACCACACGCACCACGCCCACAACACCACACGCACCGCACCCACAACACCACACGCACCGCCCCCACAACACCACACGCACCGCACCCACAACACCACACGCACCACGCCCACAACACCACACGCACCGCACCACCACATGCACTGCACCAAAACACCACACGCACCGCACCACCACACGCACCGCATCCACAACACCACACGCACCACACCACAACACCACACGCACCGCACCACAACACCACACGCACCGCACCACAACACCACACGCACCGCACCCACAACACCACACGCACCGCACCACAACACCACACGCACCGCACCCACACCACACGCACCACACCACAACACCACACGCACCGCGCCCACAACACCACACGCACCGCACCAACAACACCACACGCACCGCACCCACAACACCACACGCACCACAACACCACACGCACCGCACCACAACACCACACGCACCGCACCACCACACGCACCGCACCACAACACCACACGCACCGCACCCACAACACCACACGCACCGCACCCACAACACCACACGCACCGCACCCACAACACCACACACACCACAACACCACACGCACCGCACCCACAACACCACACGCACCGCCCCCACAACACCTCACGCACCGCACCCACAACACCACACGCACCGCACCAACAACACCCACACGCACCGCACCCACAACACCACACGCACCACAACACCACCACCGCACCACAACACACACGCACCGCACCACCACACGCACCGCACCACAACACCACACGCACCGCACCCACAACACCACACGCACCGCACCCACAACACCACACGCACCGCACCCACAACACCACACGCACCGCACCCACAACACCACACACACCACAACACCACATGCACCGCACCCACAACACCACACGCACCGCACCCACAACACCACACGCACCGCACCACAACACCACACGCACCGCACCCACAACACCACACGCACCGCCCCCACAACACCACACGCACAACGCCCACAACACCACAAGCACCGCACCCACAACACCACACACACCGCGCCCACAACACCACACGCACCGCACCCACAACACCACACACACCACACCCACAACACCACACGCACCGCGCCCACAACACCACACGCACCGCACCAACAACACCACACGCACCGCACCCACAACACCACACGCACCACAACACCACACGCACCGCACCACAACACCACACGCACCGCACCACCACACGCACCGCACCACAACACCACACGCACCGCACCCACAACACCACACGCACCGCACCCACAACACCACACGCACCGCACCCACAACACCACACACACCACAACACCACATGCACCGCACCCACAACACCACACGCACCGCACCCACAACACCACACGCACCGCACCACAACACCACACGCACCGCACCCACAACACCACACGCACCGCCCGCACAACACCACACGCACAACGCCCACAACACCACAAGCACCGCACCCACAACACCACACACACCGCGCCCACAACACCACACGCACCGCACCCACAACACCACACACACCACACCCACAACACCACACGCACCACGCCCACAACACCACACGCACCGCACCCACAACACCACACGCACCACGCCCACAACACCACACGCACCGCACCCACAACACCACACGCACCGCGCCCACAACACCACACGCACCGCACCAACAACACCACACGCACCGCACCCACAACACCACACGCACCACACACCACACGCACCGCACCACAACACACACGCACCAGCACCACCACACGCACCGCACCACAACACCACACGCACCGCACCCACAACACCACACGCACCGCACCCACAACACCACACGCACCGCACCCACAACACCACACACACCACAACACCACACGCACCGCACCCACAACACCACACGCACCACACCCACAACACCACACGCACCACGCCCACAACACCACACGCACCGCACCACAACACCACACACACCACGCCCACAACACCACACGCACCGCACCCACAACACCACACGCACCGCACCCACAACACCACACGCACCGCACCCACAACACCACACGCACCGCACCCACAATACCACACGCACCGCACCCAACAACACCACACACACCGCACCCACAACACCACACGCACCGCACCCACAACACCACACACACCGCACCCACAACACCACACGCACCACGCCCACAACACCACACGCACCACACCCACAACACCACACACCACCCCACCCCACACCACACGCACCGCACCCACAAACCACACGCACCGCACCCACAACACACACGCACCGCACCACAACACCACACGCACCGCACGCATAACAACACCACACGCACCACGCCCACAACACCACACACACCGCACCCACAACACCACACGCACAGCACCCACAACACCACACACACCGCACCCACAACACCACACGCACCGCACCACAACACCACACGCACCGCACGCATAACAACACCACACGCACCGCACCCACAACACCACACACACCGCACCCACAACACCACACGCACCGCACCCACAACACCACACGCACCGCACCCACAACACCACACGCACCGCACCCACAACACCACACGCACCGCACCACAACACCACACGCACCGCACCCACAACACAACACGCACGCACCACACCCACAACACCACACGCACCGCACCACAACACCACACGCACCGCACCCACAACACCACACACACCGCACACACAACACCACACGCACCGCACACACAACACCACACGCACCGCACCCACAACACCACACGCACCGCACCCACAACACCACACGCACCGCACCCACAACACCACACGCACTGCACCCCCACAACACCACCACGCACTGCACCCACAACCACCACACGCACACGCCACAACACCACACGCACCCGCACCACAACCACCACACGCACACACCCACAACACCACACGCACCACGCCCACAACACCACATGCACCGCAACACAACACCACACGCACGCACCCACAACACCACACGCACTGCACCCACAACACCACACGCACCACGCCTACAACACCACACGCACCAGCCCACAACAACACCCACGCACCGCACCCACAACACCACACGCACCACGCCCCACAACACCACATGCCACCCGCACCCACAACACGCACACGCACCGCACCACAACACCCACACGCACCGCACACACAACACCACACGCACCGCACCCACAACAACAACCGCACCCACAACACCACACGCACCGCAACCACAACACCACACGCACCGCGACCCACAACACCCACACGCAACCGCACCCACAACACCACACGCACCGCGCCACAACACCACACGCACCGCACCCACAACAACACACGCACCGCACCCACAACACCACACGCACCACACCCACAACACCACACGCACCGCACCCACAACACCACACGCACCGCACCCACAACACCACACGCACCACACCCACAACACCACACGCACCGCGCCCACAACACCACACGCACCGCACCCACAACACCACACGCACCGCACCCACAACACCACACACACCGCACCCACAACACCACACGCACCGCACCCACAACACCACACGCACCGCACCCACAACACCACACACACCGCACCCACAACACCACACGCACCGCACCCACAACACCACACGCACCGCACCCACAACACCACACGCACCGCACCCACAACACCACACGCACCGCACCCACAACACCACACGCACCGCACCCACAACACCACACACACCGCACCCACAACACCACACGCACCACACCCACAACACCACACGCACCGCACCCACAACACCACACGCACCGCACCCACAACACCACACGCACCGCGCCCACAACACCACACGCACCGCGCCCACAACAACACACGCACCACAACACCACACGCACCGCACCACAACACCACATGCACCACACCCACAACACCACACGCACCGCACCACAACACCACACGCACCGCACCCACAACACCACATGCACCGCACCCACAACACCACACGCACCGCACCCACAACACCACACGCACCGCATCCACAACACCACACGCACCGCACCACAACACCACACGCACCGCACCCACAACACCACACGCACCACACCACAACACCACATGCACCACACCCACAACACCACACGCACCACACCACAACACCACACGCACCGCACCCACAACACCACACGCACCGCACCCACAACACCACACGCACCGCACCCACAACACCACACGCACCGCACCCACAACATCACACGCACCGCACCCACAACACCACACGCACCGCACCACAACACCACACGCACCGCACCCACAACACCACACGCACCACACCACAACACCACACGCACCGCACCCACAACACCACATGCACCACACCACAACACCACACGCACCACACCACAACACCACACGCACCGCACCCACAACACCACACGCACCGCACCCACAACACCACACGCACCGCACCCACAACACCACACGCACCGCACCCACAACACCACACGCACCGCACCCACAACACCACACGCACCGCGCCCACAACACCACACGCACCGCGCCCACAACAACACACGCACCACAACACCACACGCACCTCACCACAACACCACACGCACCGCACCCACAACACCACACGCACCGCACCCACAACACTAGTGTGCTGGGGTTATTCTGCTGGTGTTGGCGTGTGTTGATGAGTGTTAGTTTGTGTGTGCTGGCGTGTGTCAGCGTGCTGATGTTAGTCTGCTGGTGTTGGTCTGCTGGTGTTGGTCTGCTGGTGTTAGTCTGCTGGTGTTAGTCTGCTGATGTTAGCGTGTGTTGGTGAGTGTTAGTTTGTGTGTGTTGGCGTGTGTCAGCGTGCTGGTGTTTTCGGGGTATTTTGCAGGACGGCCTCACTCCGCTGCACTGTGCAGCTCGGAGCGGCCACGATGGAACTCTGGAGATCCTCCTCGAGCAGGGAGCACCCATCCTTGCCAAGACCAAGGTGCCACATCGTCAACATCATCACTGTCAACAACATCATCATCATCAATAACATCACCGTCATCAACGTCATCATTAACATCCTCACCATCATCATCAACAACATCATCATCATCATCACCAAAAACGCCGTCATCATTAACATCATCACCGTCAACAACATCCTCACCATCATCATCGACAACATCATCACCAAAAACACCGTCATCATTAACATCATCACCATCAACAACATCATCATCAACATCATCATCACCTAAAACACCGTCATTATCAACATCATCATGATAGGTCATCATAACGGTCATCAACATCATCATCACCTAAAACACCGTCATCATTACCATCATCATCATGGGCCTTCGTCAACACTGACACTGTGCGTCATCATTAACATCATCATGATAGGTCATCATCACGGTCAACATCATCATCAACATCATCATCACCTAAAACACCGTCATCATTACCATCATCATCATGGGCCTTCGTCAACACTGACACTGTGCGTCATCATTAACATCATCATGATAGGTCATCATCACGGTCAACATCATCATCAACATCATCATCACGGTCAACATCATCATCAACATCATCATCACCTAAAACACCGTCATCATTACCATCATCATCATGGGCCTTCGTCAACACTGACACTGTGCGTGTGCCACTAAGACTGTACGTGTGTGCCACTGTGCCACTGACGTGCCGCGTGCCACAGAACGGGCTCTCCCCGCTGCACATGGCGGCGCAGGGCGACCACGTGGGCTGCGTGCGGGGTCTGGGTGCGCGCGACGCCCCAGTGGACGACGCCACGCTCGACTCCCTCACCGCACTCCACGTGGCGGCCCACTGCGGCCACTACCACTCCGCCAAGCTCCTGCTGGAGCTGGGGGCCGAGCCGGACGCCCGCGCGCTGGTGAGACGACGACACGGGGGAGACACCGGGGGGGAGATGCACGGGAGACGCGGGGTAGAGGCGGGTAAACCGGGGGAGACACGGAGAGACTCGGGAAGATACAGGAGATATGCAGTGGAGATGCAGGGAGACTCAGCGAGACATAGGGGAGACTCGGGGAGTAGCTGGGAGACACGGAGAGACTCGGGAAGATACAGGAGAGATGCAGTGGAGATGCAGGGGAGACGCAGGGAGACTTGGCGAGACATAGGGGAGACTCGGAGAGTAGCGGGGAGATGCGGGGAGACACGGAGAGGATCGGGAAGATGCAGAAGAGATGCAGGGGAGACTAGGGGAGACGCAGGGAGACTCAGCGAGACATAGGGGAGACTCGGGGAGTAGCGGGGAGACACGGAGAGACTCGGGAAGATACAGGAGAGATGCAGTGGAGATGCAGGGGAGACGCAGGGACACTCAGCGAGACATAGGGGAGACTCGGGGAGATGCGGGGAGACACAGGGGAGACACGGAGAGGATCGGGAAGATGCAGTGGAGATGCAGTGGAGACACAGGGAGACTCAGCGAGACATAGGGGAGACTAGGGAAGATGCGGGGGAGATGCGGGCAGACAGGGGAGACACGGGGTCACTTCACTCCCTCCCCCCCTCCACGCAGAATGGTTTCACGCCGCTCCACATTGCGAGCAAGAAGAACCGGGCGCGCGTCGTGGAGCTGCTGCTGCGCCACCGCGCCACCATCGGCGCCGTCACCGAGGTGGTCCCCCCGCCCCAGGGTGCCTTTAAGGAATCCCAATAACGACGGGTCACCTTTAATAGGGGTGCCTTAGAGACATGCCAGCTACGAGGGGTCACCTTTAATAAGGGGGCCTTCGAGGCGTCCCAATAACGACGGGTCGCCTTTAATAGGGGTGCCTTAGAGGCATCCCAATTACGAGGTGCCACCTTTAATAGGCATGCCTTTAAGGAATACCAATTACCAGGGGTCACCTTTAATCTGGGTGCCTTTAACGGATTCCAATTACCAGGGGGTCACCTTTAATAGGGGTGCCTTTAAGGGATCCTAATTACGAGGGGTCACCTTTAAAGGGGCTGTGGGGTGTCACGGTATGGTGTGTCACGGTGTTCTGTGTCACACTGTGGGCTGTAGTCTGGCCTGACTCCGCTCCACGTTGCCGCGTTCATGGGGAACCTGGAGGTGGTGTCGCTGCTGCTGCAGTACGGAGCGACGTTGGACACGCCGAACGTGGTAATAACACCACAGACGCATCGCACACAATACCACACACACATCACGGACAACACTGCACTGCACCACACTGCACACGCATTATACATCACAATGCACCATACCCTGCACCACACCGCACTGCACCACACCACAGACGCATCGCACACAATACCACACACACATCACGGACAACACTGCACTGCACCACACTACACACGCATTATACATCACAATGCACCATACCCTGCACCACACCGCACACGCATCACACCACACACACATCGCACACCGCACGACACCGCACACAGCACCGCACCGCACACGCATCACAGACCACACAGCACCACACCGCACACGCATCACACCACACACACATCGCACACCGCACGACACCCCACACAGCACCACACCGCACACGCATCACAGACCACACACACCACTCTCCACTGCACAAGCATCACAAACCAGACTACACTCTAGATTTGAAGTTGTCGTGACTGCAAGGATTCCTACTGTTTGGGTTTTTTCGGTAAAGTCACGTAGGTAAAAAAAAAATGAAATAAAATAGAATGAAAAGAACTAAAATAAAATTTAATCACGACGTTTTGGACGCAACACAAGCGTCCTTCTGCAGGTGGGGACAATGTAGCGACAAAACAACCGCTTCAGTGTGTCTGTGTTTTCGCTACATTGTCCCCACATGAAGAAGGCATATTGTGTTGTGCCAAAAACGTCGTGATTTAATTTAATTTTAGTTCTTTTCATTCTATTTTATTTCATTTATTTAGTTTTTTACCTACGTGACTTTACCGAAAAGAACAAAGAGTCCAGACTACACTCCACTGCTCCGCACCACTCCAGTCCACGCCCCACAAGACACACCCCGCAGAGGCCCTCACTGAAGACATGGATCCCAGTCAAGACGGAGGGCACCTTGCCATTGAACGCCTGGCAGTGTGGCCAGCATTGATTCCAGCAGCGCGGCTGACTTTGCCGCTGATGAGAGACTGAATGTCGAACCCGCTCCCGAACTTTGCTCGTGTTGATAGACCAGTGCTGCTGCTGCTGCTGCTTCCTGTTGAGATGATGCTCTCCCAGAAGAAAGGCCGTGGGGCTGATGGGACGTGTCCAAAATTCGACCCCGGTGGTTGTTTTAGTTGTAGCGTGGTTGTGTGTGACTGCGCCGTGGTTTTGCCGTGCTGTTGTTGTGGTCGCAGTGTGCCTGGCATTCTTGTTTTGGCTATCGTTGAGTTTTGGTTGTTTTGGTGGTTCTGGTGTATTTATTTATACAGTGGTGTTGTGGTTGTATAGTGTTGTTATTGTGATTTTAATTCTATTGTGTTGTTGTGGTGATTCTATAGTGTTGTGGTTGTGTAGTGTTGTTGTGGTATTATAGTGTTGTTGTGGTTGTATAGTGTTGTTGTTGTGGTATTATAGTGTTGTTGTTGTGTTTGTATAGTGTTGCTGTGGTTGTATAATATTGTTGTTGTGGTTGTATAGTATTGTTGTTGTGTTTGTATAGTGTTGTTGTTGTGTTTGTATAGTGTTGTTGTTGTGTTTGTATAGTGTTGTTGTTGTGGTTGCAGCGTGGTGAGACACCATTGCACATGGCCGCCCGTGCGGGGCAGCTCCCAGCCGTGAAGAGTTTACTGAAGGCCGGGGCGGACCCACACGCAACCACACGGGTGAGAGCACAACCACACACAACTACACACAACCACAAGGATGAGAGCACAACCACACACAACCACACAGGTGAGTGCGCAACAACGCACAACCACGAGGGTGAGGGGGCAACCGCTGGCAACTACCGCGGCCCTCCCCCTCTCGATCCGGCCATCGTGGGAGCTGTTCGCTGGTCCACGCAGCGCACCTTTGCCTGTACCCCCGTGCGCTTTCAGGACGAGCAGACGGCGCTGCACCTGGCCTCCCGCCTGCCTCGCCCGGAGGTTGCGCTCGCCCTGCTGGAGGCCGGGGCGCGAACCGACGCGGTTTCGGCCGGAGGGTACACCCCGCTGCACATCAGCGCGCGCGCCGGCCACACACTCACCACGGCGAGCCTGCTGCACGCGGGCGCCGACCACACGCTGCCCACCAGGGTGAGCACCCTCCGCCCTAATCCACGCCCTCACCGCCCACAGCCTCACCACCCACAACGTCGCGCACGGTGGCGGGTGGAGTGACGTGTGGTGTGACGCGTGAGATGTGGTGTGATGCGTGGGATGTGGTGTGACGCAGTGTGACACGTGGGGTGGGGTGACCCACAGTGTGACACGTGGTGTGACGCGTGGCCTTTTACAGAAAGGCTTCACCCCTCTGCACGTCGCCGCCAAGTATGGACAAACCGACGTGGTGCGACTGTTGCTTGAGGGCGGAGCCCAAACTGACATCACGGGCAAGGTGAGAGAGAGACAGTGTCGTGGGCAGGGTGGCATGCACAGACACTACCACAGACACAATCACAGACACACACACACCCACAGACACAATCACAGACACACCCACAGACATAATCTCAGACACACCCACAGACACAATCACAGACACACCCACAGACACAATCACAGACACACCCACAGACACAATCACAGACACACCCACAGACACAATCACAAACACACCCACAGACACAATCACAGACACACCCACAGACACACCCACAGACACACCTACAGACACACCCACAGACACAATCACAGACACAATCACAGACACACCCACAGACACAATCTCAGACACACCCACAGACACAATCAGAGACACACCCACAAACACAATCTCAGACACACCCACAGACACAATCACAGACACACCCACACCCACAGACACAGACACACTCACAGACACAATCTCAGACACACCCACAGACACAATCACAGACACACCCACAGACACAATCACAGATACACCCACAGACACACCCACAGACACACCCACAGACACACCCACAGACACAGACACACCCACAGACACAATCACAGACACACCCACAGACACACCCACAGACACAATCACAGACACACCCACAGATACACACATAGATACACCCACAGACGCGCCCACAGACGCCCCACAGACGCACCCACAGACACGCCCATGCACTCTGTGGTGTTAATTGTGGGCAGTGCAGTATTGCGTGGTACTGTGTAGTACGCGCAGTGTGGTACTGTGTGATGCTGTATAATGCGGTGCTGTGTGGTGGTGCGGTACGGTGTGGTGCTGTCTGGTGAGTGCAGTGCCAAGCTGTGTGGTCTATGCAATGCAATGCCGTGTGTGGTACGGTGCCGTGTGTGGTACGGTGCCGTGTGTCACGTTAACGGTGCGGTGCGGTGCAGAACGGGCTGACCCCGCTCCACGTCGCCGCTCACTACGACCACCAGGAGGTGGCCCTGGTGCTGCTGCAGAATGGAGCCTCACCCACGGCCACCGCCAAGGTGCCAGTGCGTGTGTGTGTGTGCGCGCCTGTGTGTGTGTGTATGTGCACGCCTGTACGCGTGTGTGTATGCGCCTGTGTGCGTGTGTGTGTGTGTGCGTGTGTGTGTGTGCGCCTGTGTGCGTGTGTGTGTGTGCGCCTGTGTGCGTGTGTGTATGCGCCTGTGTGCGCGTGTGTGTGTGCACGTGTGTGTATGCGCCTGTGTGCGTGTGTGTATGCGCCTGTGTGCGTGTGTGTATGCGCCTGTGTGTGTATGCGCCTGTGTGCGTGTGTATGCGCCTGTGTGCGTGTGTGTATGCGCCTGTGCGCGTGTGTGTGCACGCCTGTGCGCGTGTGTGTATGCGCCTGTGTGCGTGTGTGTATGCGCCTGTGTGCGTGTCTGACAAAAGGGAGAGGTGGGGCAGTAGCTATCATGCTGCGCTACAAACCCGGCGACCCCGAGTTCAATTCCCTCTCACAGCCAACACCAGCGACGATTATTTGAACTGGTCCTGGGCCTCCCCTTGGTCAACTCGGCTTCAAGTGAGGACACGGTGTGGTGTGTCGACACTGCCACTCGGGAGACAAAGGCAGCCAAGCACGGTGCTGGCCGCCCACCCCTTCATGTGCCGTGCCAGCCTTCATAGGTGCTCGCTATATGGGGGATCTTTGTGTTCTATCTGGCTCGTGTCGCACAATGGCAGCCGCACTGTGCTGCGAGCACTGCCGCTGGTTGTGAGAAGGCTGAGAGGCTGTTACCCTCGCGGCACTCACGGCCACTACGGCGGCGTTGGGGCCTGAGGATGGGCGCGAGGGGCTCGATCGCGTGACCACGAGGACCACAGGAACATAACCAGACAGGCGCCCGCAATGTCACCTGGCCAAGCCCCCGTTTGGCGGAGCCGGGAGACTGAACCCACCTCGTGGTTCCCACCATGAACAGGAAACCACCACCGGTGTCCACGTGGAATGTCCGAACCCTCACAGCGGAGGAGAGGCTGCCACTTCTCTTTCGGGAGCTGGACCGCTACCGCCTGTGGAATACAGGAGGTCCTGTGGACTGGTTCTGGCTCCAATCACCGCGATGGGTGCATCGCTCTCCACTCGGGGCCAAACAATGTGCTCTTGTTCTAAACAAAAGAATGAAGGGGGAGTGGGAGCATGGAGGCGGAGGTATGGGAAGCTGTGAGTCTCAGGCTGTTGTGGATTCACCTCCCCATCAATGGGAGGAAAGAAATGGTGGTGGTGGTGGCTAACACCTCCACCGAAGATGAATATCAGTGGAGGGATGCAGGCCAGGCTGATGAGTAAAATGTCTTCTATGACCTGTCCCAGGTGCTGGCTAAAGTGGCCCCTCAGGATAAAGTCATTCTGTTGTATGGCTTTAATGCTCGAGTGGGTCGTGATACAGGCGCTTGAGCCGGAGTGATTTGAAGGAATTGGTCAGATCAGCTCAATAACAACGGGAGGAGGCTGCTAGACTTCTGTGCAGCCTTTGGGCTTGTAATCACCAACGCGCTGTTCCGGCATCGGCGCATCCGCACAACAGTTTGGGTGCGCGCCTGGTCCAAGCAAGAACTAATGCTGGACTACAAAGTGACACCAGAACGGACCGTGGAACTCATCTGCCCACTGACCATCGGCTAATCATCTGTAAGATGTGCCTGCATTCCATCGTGGTGGTGGGCGTCCACTTCGGACCCCATTCAAACCAGAAATAGTCTGGTCTCGGTTCAGTGATGAAGGTTGCAAGTGAGAATTTGGTCATCCAGATGCAATTACCAGCGAAACATCGTACTCAAAAATTGTAAATGTTGTGGTTTCACGTTTCAACACACCGGTGGGCTAAAGCAGTGAACTATTTGTCTTTTGTCAATGTGACACTTTTTTGCTGATTGGCCGTGTCGGGTGGTGGAGGGTTACGACACATTTATAAATAACGCGATCTAACCCAAAAAGTTGATTATGAATAATATTGGTCGCGAAAGCCTACGTGTTAATTTGATCATCGCTTGCAGCTCGGGTTAAAAATCATCCCACCCCACCACCCTCCTGATGCCGAGGGGAAATGAGTAAGGTTCAGGACGGTGGCTAATGCAGCTGTTATGGCTGCATTGAGAGTACACAGTCCAGATCTCCCCAGAGACCCTGGCTGACAGAGTAGAGGTGTTCCAGATGGCCGAGAGAAAGCGACAGGCCCCCACTCCCACCGCCTACAGCATCCCACGTCGGAGAACGAGGAGGGCTGTCCCCAGACTTGGCAAAAAGCCATTGCGGCGCTGCGAGGATTGAGCGGTGGTCCTCGGGTTGCTGAGGAGGTGGATGCTGCGTGAGCAGCTCGCGATCACAAATCACTCTTCAACCCCCATCACGAGAGTGACTTGTGGCCCATTGTCTTGCGCGTGTGTGCGTGTGCAGAATGGGTACACCCCCCTGCACATTGCCTCCCGCAAGGGCCAGGACCCCCTTTGTCTCTCCCTGCTGTCTCACGGGGCCGACGTGGATGCGCACACCCACCAGGGGGTGCGCGCGCTGCACCTGAGCAGCCAGCAGGGCCACGGCGCGGTGTGCAGCACCCTGCTGACCCACGGCGCTCAGCACACGCCCCGCACCACGGTACACACCGCACACACACACACCGCACACACACCACACACCACACACACACCGCACACACGCCGCGCACACACCACACACACCGCGCACACACCGCACACACCGCACACACACCGCACACACACCGCGCACACCGCGCACACCGCGCACACCGCGCACACCCCGCACACACACCGCACACACCACCGCACACACCACCGCACACACCGCACACCACGCAGACCACGCACACACCGCACACACCACCGCACACACCGCACACACACCGCGCACCCCCGCACACACCGCACACACCGCACACACACCACACACCGCACATACCACACACGCCACACACGTGTGGTGAGCGTGTGGTGAGTAAGTAATGAGAGTGTGGTGAGTATGTGGTGATGAGCGTGTGGTGAGTGTGGTGGTGAGTAAGTGGTGAGTGTGGTGGCGGTGAGCGTGTGGTGACTGTGGTAAGCGTGTGGTGAGTAAGTGATGAGTGTGTGGTGAGCGTGTGGTGAGTGGTGGTGAGTGTGGTGGTGAGCGTGTGGTGAGTGTGTGGTGAGCGTGTGGTGAGCGTGTGGTGAGTGTGTGGTGAGCGTGTGGTGAGCGTGTGGTGAGTGTGTGGTGAGCGTGTGGTGAGTGTGTGGTGAGCGTGTGGTGAGTGTGTGGTGAGTGTGTGGTGAGCGTGTGGTGAGCGTGTGGTGAGTGTGTGGTGAGCGTGTGGTGAGCGTGTGATGAGTGTGGTGGTGAGTAAGTAATGAGAGTGTGGTGAGTAAGTGGTGAGCGTGTGGTGAGTGTGGTGGTGGTGAGCGTGTGGTGAGCGTGTGGTGAGTAAGTAATGAGAGTGTGGTGAGTAAGTGGTGAGCGTGTGGTGAGTGTGGTGGTGGTGAGCGTGTGGTGAGTAAGTGGTGAGCGTGTGGTGAGTGTGGTGGTGAGTAAGTGGTGAGTGTGGTGGTGAGTAAGTGGTGAGTGTGGTGAGCGTGATGGTGGTAAGTGGTGAGTGTGGGGTGAGTAAGTGGTGAGTGTGGGGTGAGTAAGTGGTGAGCGTGGTGAGCGTGATGGTGGTAAGTGGTGAGTGTGGGGTGAGTAAGTGGTGAGCGTGGTGAGCGTGATGGTGGTAAGTGGTGAGTGTGGGGTGAGTAAGTGGTGAGCGTGGTGAGCGTGATGGTGGTGAGTAAGTGGTGAGCGTGTGTGCTTTCAGATGGGGCTCACCCCAATGCACCTTGCTGCCCAGGAGGACCGCGTGGAAGTTGCTCAGCAACTCGAGGCTCACGGAGCCGCCATCGACCCCGTCACCAAGGTAACAGTCTGGCAACCACATCTCCATGGCGACCTCTATAACTACCCAGTCTCACTTCCATCATAATCAACGTCGCTGTCCACTTTCAGGTGTTGTACGGTGTTGTGCGGTGTAATTTCTACACTATGTGCGGTGTGTATGGCGCGGTGTGTGTGGTGCGGTGTGTGCGGTGTGTATGGCGCGGTGTGTGTGGTGCGGTGTGTGCGGTGTAATGTCTACTCGATGTGCGGAGTATATAGTGGGGTGTGTGTTGTACGGTGTTGTGCGGTGGAATGTCTACTCGATGTGCGGTGTGTATGGCGCGGTGTGTGTGGTACGGTGTGTGCGGTGTAATCTCTACTCGATGTGCGGTGTGTATGGCGCGGTGTGTGTGGTGCGGTGTGTGCGGTGTAATCTCTACTCGATGTGCGGTGTGTATGGCGCGGTGTGTGTGGTGCGGTGTGTGCGGTGTAATCTCTACTCGATGTGCGGTGTGTATGGCGCAGTGTGTGTGGTGCGGTGTGTGCGGTGTAATTTCTACTCGATGTGCAGTGTGTATGGCACGGTGTGTGTGGTACGGTGTGTGCGGTGTAATCTCTACTCAATGTGCGGTGTGTATGGCGCGGTGTGTGTGGTGCGGTGTGTGCGGTGTAATCTCTACTCGATGTGCGGTGTGTATGGCGCGGTGTGTTAGGTGCGGTGTAACGTCTACACGATGTGCGGTGTGTATGGCGCGGTGTGTGTGGTGCGGTGTAATGTCTACACGATGTGCGGTGTGTATGGCGCGGTGTGTATGGCGCGGTGTGTGTGGTGCGGTGTGGTGCGGTGTAATGTCTACACGATGTGCGGTGTGTATGGCGCGGTGTGTGTCGTGCGGTGTGTGCGGTGGAATGTCTACACGATGTGCGGTGTGTATGGCGCGGTGTGTGCGGTTTAATCTCTACTCGATGTGCGGTGTGTATGACGCAGTGTGTGTGGTGCGGTGTGTGCGGTGGAATGTCTACACAATGTGCGGTGTGTATGGTGCGGTTTGTGTGGTGCGGTGTTGTGCGGTGTAATCTCTACTCGATGTGCGGTGTGTATGGCGCGGTGTGTCACCACAGCTGGGCTACACCCCTCTGATCGTGGCCTGTCACTATGGGAACGCTCCGATGGTTGAATTCCTCTTGCGCAATGGGGCTGACGTCAACCACAAAACCAAGGTAACCTCGCCGTCGCCGTCGCCAACAAAAAACAACAAACTACAGCAGCCGCCATTGGGACATCACCACGGTGCTTGTGCCAGGCTAGGTGCACTTTGAGGCCACGTGAAGTGTCGAAGGCTCAGGAGCCGGAGGTCACGAGACAGAGCCAGGCACCATGGGTCGACTGAGATGCACCACCTGTGCTCCCTACCGTGCCAACTCGCTGCGTTTTATCCGCCCGGCACCCCACCGATTGTTGTGAGCGTCGCTCCTCCGCCCTCCACTGTTGTTCGGAGGGGGCGACTGCCTCCAACTTCCCAGCAGCGTCCTTCATGAACCTCCACAGAGGCCGATCTTGACACTCACCGCTCGTGCCGGTCATCGGCAAGTCCACTCGGCTCACCATGCAATATTTTGCTGTCTTTTCTTGTATTTTCTGTTTGCACATAGTCACTATAAGATGTATTCTTGTTCATGTTTTTGTTTTTTGTTTGTTGCGGTTGCACCCGATTCAAGAGCCGAATGGCTCACAGGGCTATACCTAATAAATGAACTTTGAACTTTGAACCATGCGAGGGCGGAGTGGCAGCGCAGTGGTGAGCGCACTGCGCCGTGAACCCAGTGACTCATGAACCCATGAACCGGTCCAGAAGCTTCCCGAGGTCAATTCGGACATTAATGAGTGCCTGGAGCGTTGCGTAAGCATCTGGGGGAGACAAAGGTGGATGCTGTACCGGCCTTCACAGCCGCTTGCCCCTACAGTCTGTTAAGGGGGACCCCTCTGTGTGTGTGTGTGCGCGTGTGTGACCGTACGTCCATCGCAGAGCGGATACACCCCCCTACACCAGGCGGCTCAGCAGGGCCACACGCACATTGTCAGCCTCCTCCTCAAGCATGGAGCCCGGCCCGATGACGTCACCAATGTAGGCACGCTACCTCGTCACTCACGCACCTCGTCACACACACCTCGTCACACACACACACCTCGTCACACACACCTCGTCACACACACACCTCGTCACACACACCTCGTCACACACACCTCGTCACTTACGCACCTCGTCACTCACGCACCTCGTCACACACACACCTCGTCACACACACACCTCGTCATATACATACACCTCGTCACACACACACACACCTCGTCACACACACACCTCGTCACACACACACCTCGTCACACACACACACACCTCGTCACACACACACCTCGTCACACACACACCTCGTCACACACACACCTCGTGACACACACACATCGTCACACACACACCTCGTCATATACACACACCTCGTGACACACACACACCTCGTCATACACACACACCTCGTCACACACACACCTCGTCACACACACCTCGTCACACACACACCTCGTCACACACACACACACCTCGTCACACACACACACACCTCGTCACACACACACCTCGTCACACACACCTCGTCACACACACACACACCTCGTCACACACACACACACACCTCGTCACACACACACCTCGTCACACACACACCTCGTCACACACACACCTCGTCACACACACAGCTCGTCACACACACACCTCGTCACACACACACCTCGTCACACACACACCTCGTCACACACCTCGTCACACACCTCGTCACACACACACCTCGTCACACACACACCTCGTCACACACACACACCTCGTCACACACACACACCTCGTCACACACACACACCTCGTCACACACACACCTCGTCACACACACACCTCGTCACACACACACCTCGTCACACACACCTCGTCACACACCTCGTCACACACCTCGTCACACACCTCGTCACACACACCTCGTCACACACACACCTCGTCACACACACACACCTCGTCACACACACACCTCGTCACACACACACACCTCGTCACACACAAACCTCGTCACACACACACCTCGTCACACACACACACCTCGTCACACACAAACCTCGTCACACACACACCTCGTGACACACACACCTCGTGACACACACACCTCATCACACACACACCTCGTCACACACACACCTCGTCACACACACACCTCGTCACACACACACCTCGTGACACACGCACCTCGTCACACACGCAACTCGTCACACACACACCTCGTCACACACACACCTCGTCACACACCTCGTCACACACGCACCTCGTCACACACACCTCGTCACACACGCACCTCGTCACACACACACCTCGTCACACACACCTCGTCACACACGCACCTCGTCCCACACACACCTCGTCACACACACCTCGTCACACACCTCGTCACACACGCACCTCGTCCCACACACACCTCGTCACACACACCTCGTCACACACCTCGTCACACACACACCTCGTCACACACGCACCTCGTCACACACACACCTCGTCACACACACACCTCGTCACACACACCTCGTCACACACCTCGTCACACACACACCTCGTCACACACGCACCTCGTCACACACGCACCTCGTCACACACACACCTCGTCACACACACCTCGTCACACACACACCTCGTCACACACACCCTCGTCACACACCTCGTCACACACACACCTCGTCACACACGCACCTCGTCACACACACACCTCGTCACACACACACCTCGTCACACACACACCTCGTCACACACACACACCTCGTCACACACACACCTCGTCACACACGCACCTCGTCACACACACCTCGTCACACACACACACCTCGTCACACACACACCTCGTCACACACACACCTCGTCACACACACACCTCGTTACACACCTCGTCACACACACACCTCGTCGCACACACGCCTCGTCACACACACACCTCGTCACACACACACCTCGTCACACACACACCTCGTTACACACCTCGTCACACATACACCTCGTCACACACACACCTCGTCACACACACACCTCGTCACACACACACCTCGTCACACACCTCGTCACACACACCTCGTCACACACACACCTCGTCACACACACCTCGTCACACACACCTCGTCACACACACACACACTTCGTCACACACACACACCTCGTCACACACACACACCTCGTCACACACACACCTCGTCACACACACACCTCGTCACACACCTCGTCACACACACACCTCGTCACACACACACCTCGTCACACACACACCTCGTCACACACACACCTCGTCACACACACACCTCGTCACACACACACACCTCGTCACACACGCACCTCGTCACACACGCACCTCGTCACACACGCACCTCGTCACACACCTCGTCACACACCTCGTCACACACCTCGTCACACACACCTCGTCACACACACCTCGTCACACACACATCTCGTCACTCACGCACCTCGTCACACACACACCTCGTCACACACACCCACCTCGTCACACACACACCTCGTCCACACACACACCTCGTCACACACACACCTCGTCACACACACACACCTCGTCACACACACACCTCGTGACACCACACACCTCGTCACACACACACCCTCGTCACACACACACCTCGTCACACAACACCTCGTCACACACACACCTCGTGCACACACACACCTCGTCACACACACACCTCGTCACACACACACCTCGTGACACACACACCTCGTCACACACACACCTCGTCACACACACACCTTCGTCACACACACACCTCGTCACACACAACACCTCGTCACACACACCTCGTCACACACACACCTCGTCACACACACACCTCGTCACCACACACTCGATCACACACACACCTCGTCACACACACACCTCGTCACACACACACACTCGTCACACACACCACACCTCGTCACACACACACACCTCGTCACACACACACCTCGTCACACACCTCGTCACACACACCTCGTCACACACCTCGTCACACACCTCGTCACACCCCTCGTCACACACCTCGTCACACACACACCTCGTCACACACACACACCTCGTCACACACACAAACCTCGTCACACACACAAACCTCGTGACACACACACCTCGTGACACACACACCTCGTCACACACACACCTCGTCACACACACACACCTCGTCACACACGCACCTCGTCACACACCTCGTCACACACCTCGTCACACACACCTCGTCACACACACACCTCGTCACACACACACCTCGTCACACACACATCTCGTCACTCACGCACCTCGTCACACACGCACCTCGTCACACACACACCTCGTCACACACACACCTCGTCACACACACACACCTCGTCACACACACACACCTCGTCACACACACACCTCGTGACACACACACCTCGTCACACACACACCTCGTCACACACACACCTCGTCACACACACACCTCGTCACACACACACCTCGTGACACACACCCTCGTCACACACACACCTCGTCACACACACACCTCGTCACACACACACCTCGTCACACACACACCTCGTCACACACACACCTCGTCACACACACCTCGTCACACACACACCTCGTCACACACACACCTCGTCACACACACACCTCGTCACACACACACCTCGTCATATACATACACCTCGTCACACACACACCTCGTCACACTCACACCTCGTCACACTCACACCTCGTCACACACCTCGTCACACACACACCTCGTCACACACCTCGTCACACACCTCGTCACACACCTCGTCACACACACACCTCGTCACACACCTCGTGACACACACACCTCGTCACACACACACCTCGTCACACACCTCGTGACACACACACCTCGTCACACACACACCTCGTCACACACACCTCGTCACACACACCTCGTCACATACACACCTCGTCACACACACACCTCGTCACACACACACCTCGTCACACACACACCTCGTCACACACACCTCGTCACACACACCTCGTCACACACATACCTCGTCACACACACACCTCGTCACACACACACCTCGTCACACACACACCTCGTCACACACCTCGTCACACACACACCTCGTCACACACACACCTCGTCACACACACACCTCGTCACACACACACCTCGTCACACACACCTCGTCACACACACCTCGTCACACACACCTCGTCACTCACGCACCTCGTCACACACACACCTCGTCACACACCTCGTCACACACACACCTCGTCACACACCTCGTCACACACACACCTCGTCACACACACACCTCGTCACACACCTCGTCACACACCTCGTCACACACACACCTCGTCACACACACACCTCGTCACACACACACACCTCGTCACACACACACCTCGTCACACACACACACCTCGTCACACACACACCTCGTCACACACACACACCTCGTCACACACACACACCTCGTCACACACACACACCTCGTCACACAACCCATTATATCCATCCCCCCCATGAGAGTATGACACGGTGAGGACGTGTGTGATGAGGTGTGCGATGAGGTGTGCGGTAGGCTGTGTTGTGGGTGGTGGTGGTGGTGGTGTGTAGACAACAACAACCTGTCTAACGGGTTGTTGTCTAACGGGTTGTCTGGCGGGTTGTCATCTAGTGGGTTGTTGTTGTTGTCGTTTAGTGAGTGGTTGTTGTCTGGATGGTTGTCATCTTTGTCTAATGGGTTGTTGTCTGGCGGGTTGTTGTTGTTGCAATCGAAACGTCGTGAGAATTTTATTGTTTTATTTTTATTACTTTAGTATTTCCCTTCTACGTGACTTTACCGAAAGAACCAAGAATATGAATCCCTGCAGTCACGAAAGCTTTAAATCGAAATTTGGCAGGTTGTTGTTGACTGGCAGGTTGTTGTTGTTGTCTAGCAGGTTGTTGTTGTCTAGCGGGTTGTTGTTGTTGTCTGGGGGGTTGTTGTTGTTGTCTGGTGGGTTGTTTTTGTTGTCTAGCAGATTGTTGTTGTCTAGCGGGTTGTTGTTGTCTAGCAGGTTGTTGTTGTTGTTGTCTAGCAGGTTGTTGTTGTCTAGCGGGTTGTTGTTGTTGTCTGGGGGGTTGTTGTTGTTGTCTGGTGGGTTGTTGTTGTTGTCTAGCAGATTGTTGTTGTCTAGCGGGTTGTTGTTGTTGTCTGGCGGGTTGTTGTTGTCTAGCAGGTTGTTGTTGTTGTCTGGCAGGTTGTTGTTGTTGTCTGGCAGGTTGTTGTTGTTGTTGTCTAGCGGGTTGCTGTTGTGTGGGCTGTGTGGTGGGGCACGCCGTGTGACAGGGCGGGAACACGGCGCTCTCCATCGCCAACCGCCTGGGCTACATCTCCGTGGTGGACACCCTGCAGGCCATCACCACGGAGACTCAGACCGTCACCATGGTAACCAGCTCACTGCCGCCATTGCAACCCCATTAGTCCTGATATCTGCGGCGCTGCAGCCAACACCCGGGCCTCCGCTAGGTCGACTCGGCATTAAATGAGCAACTGGTTGCGGTGCGAGTATATCGGCGCCGTGGAGACGTCGTAAGCGCGACTCGCTGACGGCAGGTTGCCTCGACTGGCCGTGTGGGTTACATGGGGCATCTTGGCCTTTGTTACAGCAGCCCTTTTGCCCACTTTAGCAATTGTTTCTTGCTGTGGTTGTCCCACCTGATGACGGACGCTTGTGTTGTGCCCGAAACGTCGTGATTTAATTTCATTTTATACCCACGTGACTTTACCGAAAGGACCACAGAGTATCTTTTGTGTTTTTCTAGTCGGTTTCCCAGAGGCACCGGCTCAGCATCCCGGAGACCATGACTGAGATGCTGGACGTGTCCGACGACGATGGTGAATACGCACACGCGCACACACACACACGCACACACACTCGCACACACACACGCACACACACACACACTCGCACGCACACACGCACGCACACGCACGCATTCGTACGCAGATACTCACGCAGTCACTCATGCACGCACGTGCACGTACTCGCTACAGCGGTTGCCACAGCACTGTGCTACGAAACCATTACAACTAATCTAGATTTGAAGTTTTCGTGACTGCAGGGATCCATACTCTTTGGTTCTTTCGGTAAACTCACGTAGGTATAAAATGAATTAAATCACGACGTTTCGATTGCAACACAAGCAATCATCATCAGGTGGGAAAACCACAGCAAGAAGAGAGACTTGCCGTGGTAAGAGGTTATATGAACCAGGTAAAACCCTAACTGCTTTGTAGCGGTTTTCGTCTATCATATCCGCCGTGTACTACGACTCCACGCAGCGCTTCCCCTCCCCCTACCCCACACCCTCACCCCACACTCCCACCCCTCCCTCTCTCCCCCCTTGTTCCTCCCCCTTTCTTAACTATATAACCTCTTACCACGACAACTCTCTCTCCCACTTCAGCAAACAATGTATTATTGCTGTGGTTTTTCCACCTGATGATGATCGCTTGTGTTGCAATCGAAACGTCGTGATTTAATTTATTTTATTTTATCCCTACGTGACTTTACCGAAAGAACCAAAGAGCATTACAACTATTTTAAACTAAACGACGATATTTTTTTTTATTTTACCAGGTAAGGCCCACTGAGCAATGTTGCTCTTTTTCAGAAGCGACCTGGCCACAAATGATCGCCAAACGAAAGTGGCTTATCATGATTTGGAAATGTGTAGCTGTCAAATACTCTGAATGAATATTTTTCTTTTTATTATTTTATTACTTCCCTTCTACGTGACTTTACCGAAAGAACCAAGAAGATACTCTGAATGCGTTATGTTGATTCTTAATTGTGGGGGGGGGGGGGAAACCGGAGGACCCGGAGCAAAATCCACGTGACGATGGGAAAAGTGAACATGCAAACTCCAAATATACAGCAGGCATTAGGGTCGAGATTGAACCCACGACCTCCGTGATACCAGACGAGGTAGTTAACATCTCAACACCGCGGCGCCCTTAACAATCTCGAACGCAAAAATTTTGCTAACAGCCACCTACACCAGTGATGATTATCTGAACCAGTTCTGGGCCTCCCCTAAGTCGACTCAGCCTCAAATTAGTAACTGGTGTGATTACCGTTGGTACGGCAATTTTTAATACACACAATGGACAGGAAGGACAAGATCAAAGGGCTTGCAGAATGCGCATGCATGATGTACGTTGACTCATTAATCCACCCCCCACTTTGCGCAAGAGCACAGAACTGTGGTCACCACATCTGCGCCCCTATATAAGGAACGAAACAGGTGGACTTCTCCACAAATCTGTCTATCGCCTGATGAAGCTGGTTGTAATTACCGGCGAAAGGTCGTACTCAGATTGCAAATGTTGTGGCTTGGCTCTCCAACACACCGGTGGTGCTGTACTAGTGACGAATTGGCACGTTCTGTTTACGTGACAACCCTTACTAGTTGGCTGTGTCGGGTGGTGGCGGGTTTAACGACACATTTATTTATTTACTCGATCTAACCCAAAAACCTCTACTATGGTGTGATGTGTAAACATTGCCACCTGGGAGACAAAATCAGTCGGGCGTACCATGTGCCCTGCAGGCCTTAATACGTGTTCGCTAACAGCACTTGCCACAAAAGTCTATTAAGGCTATAGGGGGGGTTATTTGCATGTATGTGTGTGTGTGTGTGCGCGCGCATGTGCATGGTTATGTGCGTGTGTACGCCATTTCCCTGTTTGGGTTGTGAGATCCTCACTTCACTCAGTTTATTTTCCCACACGCGTGTATTCATGACACGTGCATTTGTCGTGCGTGTGTACGTGTGTATTGTTTGCTCCACTTTCGCCATCATCTCACGTCCATTTCCCTTTTGTGTGTTTGCCCTCGTGTTTGTCTGTACGTGCCCGCGTGTGTGTGTGTGTCCACGTGTATGCGTGTGTCTCCCCGTGTGTGTCCACGTGTGTGTCTGCCGTGTGCGTGTGTGCGCCTGCCTGTTCACCCGTGCGTGCGTGCGTGTGTGTGTCCGACACACACGTGTGCGTGTCGCTGTGGTTGCGCCAGTGCGTAAGGCTCCAAGCTGTAACGACGTGGCATCCGACACCGACGAAGGTAACGGCGCTGCGGGGCTGGTGGTAATAGTGGTGATAGTGGTGATGGTTGGGGTGGTGGTGGTGGTGATGTTGGTGGTGGTAGTGATATTGGTGGTGGTGCTGGTGATGTTAGTGGTGGTGATATTGGTGGTGGTGGTGGTGGTATCACTCTGTGCGGAGTAATCTCACGTGTCCTGTCGTCATATAAACATCTGCATTGATGCACTGCTTTGTCACGTGTGTCATGTGATGATGTGTGTGCTGTGATATTGTGATGTGATGCGAGACAATGTGATGCGAGGATGTGATGCGCTTCGCCCAGGAGACGGAGGCCCAACACTCCACCCGGATGACATCCTGGCTCTGACGGACGACTCGCTCCCCGACGAAACTCGACTATCAGAACTGAGGACCCCGGCGCGGTCGCTAGGCGCTGCACCCTCCACCGGGTAACCACTCACCCCACCACTCGTCCCACCACTCGTCCCACCACTCGTCCCACCACTCGTCCCACCACTCGTCCCACCACTCGCCCCACCACTCGCCCCACCACTCGTCCCACCACTCGCCCCACCGCTCGCCCCACCACTCGTCCCACCGCTCGTCCCACCACTTGTCCCACCACTCGCCTCACCACTTGTCCCACCACTCGCCTCACCACTTGTCCCACCACTCATCTCTCAGTACGTCCCCTGCCCCTGCCAGACTGGAGTAGGTGGTGCTAGCAGTATCCACAGCCAAGAGGTATACTGGATGTTGTGCACCGTGGGTGTAAATCTTTTCCAGAAGCCCTGCTCCTACCAGTGTCTTCTCTGTCCTGGTCTCTATCTCCATATCTGTGTCCCAGTGCCTTCCTTTGACCTGTCTCTGTGTTTGTCTCTGTGTCTCGCTGTGTCTCGCTGTGTCTCTGTCTGATCTCCATGTGTCTCTGTGTGTCTCTCTCTGTCTGATCTCCCTGCCTGTCCTGACTTTCTCTCCGCTCCCCTCCGTTCCCTTTCTCCCCCCGTCCTCTGGCCCTGGTTATCTCCCTGTCTCTGTCTGTCTCTCTGTCTCTGTGTCGTCTCCCTGTCTCTGCCCTGGTCCCCCCCCCCCCCCCCCCCCCCACCACCGTGTCCCGATCGCCTTCCTCCGGCCCTTGTCGCCACGCCTGCAGCCCCTTCGCGTCTCCTGGCGGCCTCTCTCTGTCCCTGATGCGCGAAGCTCCCTTGAGCTCCCGCGAGGACGAGACGTCGCTCCGCTCGGCCGCCGCCGCTCCTCTCCAGGTTCTGTGCACCGGCCCCTAAAACGCCGAGCGGGGGGCCAGCAAGCGAACGGCGCTGCCGGCAGTTGCGATGAATGAATAACACTGGTCAACAAAAAAAAGTTTTTTTCTGGCCTGGACTTTTGCAGCTGTTTTAGACTAATTTCAGGGTGCTGATTCCAAATTTGATCTCAGATTTGCTCTATCACATCTCATTTTTATGCTATCGGTATAGCCCATTTTCATTGATTTTACCCGAAATTAACTCTGTCACTTATGATTGCAAGTTGTTGCGAGTCAGTGACTGCTTTAGTGTTAAAATATAGTGCTGTATTTTTAGGATAGTGTGTTTATAATATCATTTTACGTAGATATCCACATTTATTTAATATTTTTCTTCTGCAGTTTTTATTGAAAATGCAATATTTGATATCTCAAAAACCTGATGTGATAGATTTGGAATCAGCACCCCAAAATTACCTTAAACCCGTTGGAATACCTTATGCCAGAAAAAGTGTGAACAGTGTAATAAAGGGGGGCGTTGAGATTGCTCACAACTGACCTAGGTTGTTGTTGATGTTGTCGTCGTCGTTGTTGTTGTTATTGAGAGCCTGGTGGGGAGGGGGGGGAAGAGACGACAATGACGGTAGTGGAGCACCGCAAGGAAAATCGCAGAATGAGAAGTGAGGTGACAGGTAGAGTGGTGAGAGTGGGTGGATAGGCGAGTGACAAGTAGGTGAACGTGGGAGTGTGTTGTCGCGGTTAGCGTGCTGCACTATGAATCTGGCGGCCCAAGTTCGAGTCTGGCTCACGGCCAACACCAGTGACGATTATCTGAATCAGTCCTAGGTCTCCCCTAGGTCGACTCAGCCTCACTTCAGCACCTGGTGCGGTGTGTAAACATCGCCATTCGGGAGACAAAGGCGGCCGGGAGTGGTGCTGGCCACCCACTCCCACGTGTGCCGTGCAGGCCTTCTTAGGTGCTCGCTAACAGCCCTTGTGAAGGCTATACGGGGGATCTTTGTTTTTGTGGCCTGGAGTGTGTGGTGGTGGTTGAACACAGTGTGCTTGCGTGCGTGCGTGTGTGTGCACGTGTGTGTGTACGTGCGTGCGTAGGTGGATGACGATGTGGAGCGAGCGATGATGAGGTGGGGGACACCGGAACACTGGGACAACGTCACCTTGTCTTCCAGCCCCATGCATTCTGGGTAACGTGTCTGCTCTGTCGCTCTGTTTACCGTCACCCATTTCCCCATTGCACGCTCCCCCGTGTCAACCTCCTTTCTTTCTTATATTTATTATTTATTTATAACCGTTGTTCATATTCTGATTCATTATTGTTTTTTTGGGTTAGGTCACGTAACAATCCGGCTAATATCTGTTTCAGGAAACCCTCCACCAACTGACATGGCCAAACAAATTTAAATTGTCACATGTACACGCACCCACTCACGCACACACACTCACCCACCCCCACTCAACCACTCGCCCACCCACTCACACACTCACCCACTCACGCACTCACACACACTCACCCACCTACTCACCCACCCGCTCGCCCACTCACTCGCTCACACATTCTCACTCAACCACTCGCCCACCCAACTCAAGTACTCACCCGCCCCTCCCCCTCACTGACCGGGTGAGTGAGGAGGAGAGCGAGCGATTAATCTGACCCTGAGAATTGCTCTCCAACTCACCGAGTGATCGTTCTGAAACAGTCACGGTTGCCGCGTAGTGCACCGCGTAATTGAACCCGTTTGGCCGCGTCGGGCGGTGGAGGGCCTCCACGAAAACAATGTTCCGGGCAGATGGTTGCGCGGCCTAAACCCTGACGCCAGCAATATCGCGCCGGTCGCCGTCGTTGATGTTGCGCTTCTCTCCACCAGTGCCTGCACGCCATTGCCCCAGTATGACAACAGGTGACCCTCCGCACCATCACGCACCACCGTGAGACTGAGTGCTTGCGCGCGCGCGGCGAGTGTGGCGAGTGTGGCGAGCGTGACAAACCACCCCCCCCCCCCACCCCTCACTACGGGGAGCAGCCCCGTGAGAGCGTGACGACGATATCGATGATATTGATGCAAGTGATGCAGTTGTTGTCACGGTCTTGGGATGATCTTGAAATGATCGTGTGATGATGTGATGATGGTATGATGGTGTTGGTGTGACGGTGATCTCGATGATGTCGGTATTGATGCGCGTGACGCTGTTATCACGGTCGCGGGATGATCTTGAAATTATCGATGTGATGTTGATGTTGATGAAGTCGGTGTGATGCAGTTTCCTGGTGAACGTATGGGATGGTTTGATGATGTGATGATGTTGGGATGATGATGTCCGTATAATGATGGCATGATGACGATTAATGATATGATGTCGAGATGACATAGGTCTGGTGATGGTATAATAATATGATGATGTCGGCGTGGTGGTGACAACATGTTGGTGTGACGATGACGACGACCACGATGCGGTGTGATGCAGCTTCCTGGTGAGCTTCCTGGTGGACGCGCGGGGGGGCTCGATGCGTGGCTGCCGCCCCCCCGGACTTCGCCTGCTCGTGCCCCCGGGTGCCTGCGCCTCCCCGACGCGCGTCACCTGCCGCCTCGCCAAGCAGCAGCCCCCCGCCACGGGCTCCGCACCCGGAGACACTCAAGTAATTCCCCTCCCCCCACACCCCCTGCATGGCCCACGCGGCCCGCCGGAGCAAGTGGCAGCCGGGGAGCGGCGCCCGCGGAGGCTGGCGCGAGTGTTTGCTACGAGCGGGGCGGCGTGGCCAGCGCCGCGCCGGGCCACCTTTGTCTCCCCCCCCAGGGTTGATGTTATTTTTATAGACACTGCACCGAGTGCTCGCTCAAGGCTGAGTCTGGCCCTAGGTAACGCCCCGCACCGGTTCAGATAATCGTCACTGACGTTGGAGGCCGTGAGCGCGAATCGAAGTCGGGTTGCCAGGTTTGTAACGCAGTGAGCTAACAACTGTCCCACCGCTCCGCATAGATACATGGTGACACGCACAGTAACACAATGACAAGTCCCGAGTCCCCTCCAAAACACTGTGTAGGCTGCACAGGGGATCTTGGTGTACCTGTGTGGCATACCGTCGTACGTGCGCGCATGCATACTCATGTGTGCGTGCGTGCACGTGTGCGTGTGCACGTGTGCGTGTGCACGTGCGTGTGTGAAGAGTGGTCGTGTAGTGAGTTTAACACGGAGGCTTTCGCGACCAATATCATCCATGATAGAGGTTTTTGGGTGATAAATGTGTCGTTAAACCCGCCACCACCCGACACAGCCAACTAGTAAGGGTTGGAGAGCCAGACCAAAACATTTACATTCTGAGTACGACGTTACGCCAGTAATTATAACTAGCTTCATCAGGCGACAGCCAGATTTGGCTAATCTAACCCAAAAAAACTTTATTATGGGTGGTACTGTAGTGGTTAGCGTAATGCGTTGTGAACCCGGCGACCCAACTTCGATTCCCACTCACGGCCACCAACACCAGTGACGACTATCTGAACTGATCCTGGACCTCCCTTGGGTCGACTCGGCCTCAAATGAGTACCTTGTGCGGTGTGTAAACATCGGCACTAGGGAGACAGCCGGGCGGATATGGTGGTGGCCACCCACCCCCTCGTGTACCGTTCCGGCCTTCATAGGTACTCGTGAAAAGCATTGGCCCCAACTGTCTGTTAAAACTATATGGGGGATCTTTGTGTTTGTGCGTGCATGTACGTGCATGTGTGCACGTGCGTCTGTACCTGTGTGTATGCGCGTGTGTACGTGTGTGTGTGTACGTGCATGTGTACCCGTGTGTATGTGTGCTTGTGTGCGTGCATGCATGTGTACGTGCGTGTGTGTACGTGCATCTGAACCCGTGTGTATGTATGTACGTGCCTGTGGGTACATGCATCCGTACCCATGCGTGTGTATCCGTGTGTGCGTGCGTGTGTGCCCCAGCCCCAGGGACCACCGGTGGTGGATGGCGAGGGTCTGGCCGCTCGAATCATCCAGCTGGGCCCTCCCCTTGGCCGCTTCCTTGGGTACGTACACACACACACGTACACACACGCACAACAACAACCGCCATTCGCCACTAAGTGGCGGTGACGTCACCACGACGCTTGTGCCAGACCATGTGCACCTTGAGGCCACGGGAAGTGTCGAACGCCCGCTGGCAGGAGGTCACGGGGCAGACCCAGCAGGTGCCACGGGTCGACTGACTGAGATGACTGAGACGACTGGCTGATGCACCACCTGTGCCCCCTACTGTGCCAACTTGCTGTGCTTTAGCCACCCGGCGCTCCACTCGTTGTTGTGAGCACACGCATATACACACATGCACATGTACACGCACGTAAATGAACCATCTGCCCGGCACATGCATGTACACAAAAACAACCGCCATTCACCACGAAGTGGCGGTGATGTCACCACGGCGCTTGTGCCAGGCTACGTGCACGTTAAGTGTACACACACACGACACATGCACGTACGTGCACACGCACGCACAGTCTTACGCACGCTCACCGTCATCAACCATGCGCAATCCACTGCTGGATGGAAGCCTCCGCAAGTCACCTCCACATACTGTGTCACTGTGTGTGTGTGTGTCACTGTGTGTGTCACTGTGTGTGTGTCACTGTGTGTGTGTCATTGTGTGTGTGTGTATCACTGTGTGTGTGTGTCACTGTCTAACCCAAAAAACCTTTATTTTTTGCTGGATATCTGTGGGGAGCAGTAGTGTAGCGGTTAGCGCGCTGCACTACGAACCTGGCGACCCGGGTTCGATTCCCGCTCACGGCAAACACCAGTGACGATTATCTGAACCGGTCCTGAGCCTCCCCTAGGTCGATTCAGCCTCAAATGAGTACCTGGTGCGATGTGTAAACATCGCCACTAGGGAGACAAATGCGGTTGGGCGTGGTGCTGGCCACCCACCCCCTCGTGTACCATTTGCGGCCTTCATAGGTGCTCGCTAACAGCATTTACCCCTACAGTCTATTAAGGCTATACGGGGATCTTTGTCTTTGTTGTCACTATGTGTGGAGCTGTGCAGCAATAGCTGACCCCCCTGTGCTGGATATCTGTGGAAAAGAGCTTCATAGCTCATCGGATTCCTCCAGTCTCAATAACGATTCCGATCCTAAGAGGCCTGCGCGACGAACCCGGTGAACCCGGTGTTCGATACCCGCTCGCGGCCAACGTCAGCGACGAGTGTCTCAACTGGTCCTGGGCCCTCCCCTGGGTCGACTCGGCCGTAAACGAGATACCCAGCCCCCCGCAGTTTGTAAATCGGTATTGGGGCGGGGGGGGAGACAAAGGCGACGTGGGCTTTTCGCGTGCACCCGCTCGCCTTACGGGCAACCCTGTCACCGGCGGCCTGCGCTTTGTGTCTTCGTGTGTCTTCGTGTGTCTTCGTGTGTCACCGCCGTCAGGCCCGTGCTGCTGGAGGCGCCCCACTACGCGTCGCTGCGCGGGGGGCTCCGCGAGGTGGTGGTGCTGCGGAGCGACGACGGCGCCACGTGGGCCGAGCACAAATACACGCCCAGCGACGAGGAGCTGCGCCAGCTGATGGCCGCCTCCAGCGAGGGTGCGGGGGCCCCACCATGCCGCCTCCTCCTCCACCCTCCTCAACCTCCTCAACCTCCTCCTTCCTCAACCTCCTCCCTCCTCAACCTCCTCCTCAACCTCCTCCCTCCTCAACCTCCTCCTCAACCTCCTCCTCAACCTCCTCCCTCCTCAACCTCCTCCTCAACCTCCTCCTCAACCTCCTCCTCAACCTCCTCCACCTCCTCAACCTCCTCCCTCCTCAACCTCCTCCTCAACCTCCTCCACCTCCTCCCTCCTCAACCTCCTCCTCAACCTCCTCCTCAACCTCCTCCTCTCTCCTCAACCTCCTCCTCCCTCCTCAACCTCCTCCTCAACCTCCTCCCTCCTCAACCTCCTCCTCAACCTCCTCCACCTCCTCCCTCCTCAACCTCCTCCTCAACCTCCTCCTCAACCTCCTCCTCAACCTCCTCCTCTCTCCTCAACCTCCTCCTCCCTCCTCAACCTCCTCCTCAACCTCCTCCTCTCTCCTCAACCTCCTCCTCTCTCCTCAACCTCCTCAACCTCCTCAACCTCCTCAACCTCCTCCTTCCTCAACCTCCTCCCTCCTCAACCTCCTCCTCAACCTCCTCCCTCCTCAACCTCCTCCTCAACCTCCTCCTCAACCTCCTCCCTCCTCAACCTCCTCCTCAACCTCCTCCTCAACCTCCTCCTCAACCTCCTCCTCAACCTCCTCCACCTCCTCCCTCCTCAACCTCCTCCTCAACCTCCTCCTCAACCTCCTCCTCAACCTCCTCCTCTCTCCTCAACCTCCTCCTCTCTCCTCAACCTCCTCCTCAACCTCCTCCTCAACCTCCTCCTCCCTCCTCAACCTCCTCCTCAACCTCCTCCACCTCCTCAACCTCCTCCCTCCTCAACCTCCTCCTCAACCTCCTCCTCAACCTCCTCCTCTCTCCTCAACCTCCTCCTCTCTCCTCAACCTCCTCAACCTCCTCCCTCCTCAACCTCCTCCCTCCTCAACCTCCTCAACCTCCGCCTCCTCAACCTCCTCCTCCTCCCTCCTCAACCTCCTCAACCTCCTCCCTCCTCAACCTCCTCAACCTCTGCCTCCTCAACCTCCTCCTCCTCTCTCCTCAACCTCCTCAACCTCCTCCCTCCTCAACCTCCTCCCTCCTCAACCTCCTCAACCTCCTCATCAACCTCCTCCTCAACCTCCTCCTCCTCACTACACCACAACCTACTTACTACAACCTTCTTCACCTCCTCGCTACCTTCTCACCTCCTCGCTACACCTCCTCCTAGCTACCTCTTCGCCGTACCTCCTCCCTCCCTCTCACCTGGGATGTAAACCTTGTGCACGTGCGTGTGTATCGGCCGTGATGGAGTGAGTGTGAGTGGAGGGTGGATATCTAGTTCTGTTGCAAGGGGCTGGTAACCCCTCCACCTGGCACTTTTTCTACCAAACACCATGGTGGAAACACCCAACTAAGTTGTTTATGGCACCTTCTGGCCAATCCCCATTTGGCAGAGCCAGACTAAACGCCCTCGAACAGGAGACTACTGCGGTTGGCCACGTGGAAAGTTCGAATGCTCGCTGTGGAGAAGAGACTACCATTCCTCTGTCGGGAGATGGACCGGTACCACCTGCACCTGTGTGGAATACAAACCCTGCTGGGACTGCCGTGCCTCAAATATTGGCTGGAGTAACCACCCCTTGAGGGGCTGACTGAGGTGCCATCTGTTGCAGAAGTACGAAGGTTGATACGGAGTCTGAGACCAGGAAAAGCATCCGGGCAGAAATTATCTCTCAGGCGAACTGCCGTGGGAGGGTGGCTTCTGTGTGCAGACTGCTCTATGTGACATCATCGCAACTGTCTATACCAGAGGATGAGTTCCGCAGGAATTGGAAAGATGCCCTGAAGGGGGACCGCACAGATTGTAACACCTACTGTGGCATCTCACTCGGTGTGCCAGGAAAGGACCTGGCAAGGATGATTCAATATCGCCTTGCCAGGCACGCTGAGGAGAGGCTTGCGGAGCCTGAATGTGGTTTTAGGCCGGGGTGGTCTTGCACAGACGCCATATTTTCTGTCTGTCTGCTACAGCAGAGGTGTTGGGAATTGTAACAGGACCTACATATCTGCTTTATTCACCTGGTCAAGCCCTATGATACCATGATTAGGCCAGGGCCCTGGGTTGTTCTTCTTGCTTTCGGAGTCCCTGACTCTCTGCTCACAATTGTACAGGAACTTCATAATGGTGGACAGGATTCAGAGCCATTCCCTGTTCACGTTGCGGTGCGACAGGGATGTCTCCTGGGTCCCACATTCAGCCACGTAGTTCAAGAAGCCTTCCAAAGCTGTACCAGTGTTATTTCTATCTGGCACAGATACAATGAGAGGCTGATCGATGCCCGGGTGCGGTCAAGGGATGGCTCCCTATCGGGCAACCATGTTATGTACGCTGATGATCTGGTGGTTGCTGAACCTGGAGAATGCCACTAAGAGGTCGGGCCTTACCAGCAGCCCCACCAAAACTAAACAACTGCCTGGGTACTTTGTATTATCCAACACTCCATCCCCTCAACTCCCCATGAGTGATGGGGCAGTTATGGTGAGAGTCGAGAAGTTTCCATACCTGGGCAGTGTGCTTATGTCAACTCTGGTTTGGCAACCTAGGTCTCACAGAATCAGCCAATCAGCATTATCTTTTCATAACACTGTGTGGTCTGTCACCAGAGTTATGCCCTCCCTTATTTTTTCTTGTGAAACATGCAACCCTCTGATGGAACATATGCACCAGTTTGAAACTTTCCTGCCTATGATCCATCCTGGGTTTAACTAGGATGGATTGTGTGAGGAGCTCACAAATCTTTAAAAAACCTGGACACATTCCCATCAGTAAGCTCCTCCAGCGGGCAGGGAGACGTTGGCTGGGTCATGTAGCCTGTATGCCCAGCCACGATATGCCCAAGCAACTTCTGTTTCCTCAGATAGAGGGGGCGAAATGGGCACAGTTAGGCTGAGTATGTGGAGCTGAGTGGACTTGCCAATGACTTGTACCAGCGGTCTCAAAGTCGGCCTTGATGGACAAGGTTTGCGAAGGACGCTACTGAGCAATTGGAGGCCGTCGCCCTCCAACAATGGAGGGCAGAGAAGTGACGCTCACAACAACGAGCGGAGTGCTGGATGGTTAAAATGCAGCAAGTTAGCACAGTAGGTGGTGTAGGTGGTGCATCGGCCGTTCATCTCAGTCAACCCATGGCACCTGGGTCTGTCTTGTGACCTCCTTTTAGCGAGCCTTCTCCGCTTCACGTGGCCTTGGAGTGCACCTGGCCTGGCACAAATGCTCTGGTGACGCCACTGCCACTTAATAATTATAATCGACATTTATAAGGCGCCTTGCACTAATGTCTCAAGGCACCTTCTACAAATAGGATTAAGGAAAGGCCAAGAGAGGAGAGCTAAATAGAATGCACGGACTTGGTGGCAAATGGCGGCTGTTGTTGATGTGCAAGGGTGCTCGCTAACAGTACTTGCCCCAACAGTCCATGTGGGCTTTCTTTGGGGGGCCCTTTGTCTCTTTAGATCTGGAGGGCGAGTCCCCGATGCTCACGCGTCAGTCCTGCCGCGTCCTCACCAAGGACTTTCCCAAGTTCCTGGCCCTGGTGTCACGCGTAACCATGGAGACGGGGATGCTGGGCCCCCAGGGGGGGGCCCTGTGGAGCCGGGGGGTCCCTGGGGTGCGCGTGGCCTTCCCCGAGGGGGCCCTCACTCGACAAATCCGCCTCGGCCTCCAGGTGACCAGCAGTGAGTGATTGGTTGGGTGAGTGGTTGGGTGAGTGAGTGAGTGAGCGAGTGGGTAAGTGAGTGAGTGAGCGAGCGAGCGAGAGTGTGTGGGGTTTGTATGTTCTTCCTCGATTCTGCGTGGATTTACACCGGGTTCTCAGATTCCCTCCGGGTTCTCAGATTCCCTCCTATATCGAAACCCACCCACCCACTTGAACTGCTATCGGCCCAAATGTCCCCCATGCTCAAATATTCCCTGCAAATCACTCAACTGGGATCGCACAGCAGCAGCAGCACCAGCAGCAGCACCAGCAGCAGGGCCATCCTGAGTCTCACTGAGGCCTGAGACTTGGTAAGGCTCTCCTGGGAGAGCGAGTGCAATAGGAATGGCGATATTGCAGGGTGTGGCCGGGAGAGGCGGCCAGGCTAACTAACGGGGGGCGGGGGGGTGGCGGTGCTCGTTTCGTGTCGCTGGCAGGCTCAAGCGGGGCCCGACGCGCCGGCTCGTGATTGGCCGGGAAACCGCGTCACCTTTGGCCCAGTCGTCACCCTCGAACCACGCCGACGCAAGTTCCATCGACCAATCACGGTAAGTGCTTTGCGCGGCCTTAGCATGCGCACAGAGGAGTTGGCATGGATGCACGTGGTCGGAAAACGCAGAGAGCTCTCCAACGCACACCGAGAAGTGCGCAGAGAACACGCGGATTTAAAGGACACGCTTAGAGGAAGAGACGTTAATACGTATGCTTTCGCGAGCAATATCATCCATAATAAAATGTACGCGATCTAACCCAAAAAAACCTGTATTATGGAAGACGTCACCACATTGATCTCCATCTAGCAGTGCATAGACCATCGTGATGATAGTCACACAGAGAGAGGAGCCCGTGGATCAGAAGACACGCGCAGTTGGTATAAAACGCACGCAGTGGTTGCGGTTGTGGTTGTTCCATTGTGTGCATGGTTGTGGTTGTGTTGTGCAGGTGACAATGCCACTACCACAACCGCACGGGACACCAGCCGAAACGACGCCCCTGCGCCACCACGGCAACCTACGCCTGTTGTGCAGCATCGCCGGTACAAGTGTATGCGTGTGCGCGTATCTAAACGTGTGTACACACGCCCACGTGTGTGTACACGTATGTGTATGCATGCGTTTTTGTGAGCGGTAGTGTAACGGCTGGCGCGCTGCGCTAGGAACCTGTTGTCCCGAGTTCGATTCCCGCTTACGGCCAACACCAGTGACGATTATCTGAACTGGTCCTGGGCCTCTCCTAGGTCTACTCGGCCTCAAATGAGTACCTGGTGTGATGTGTAAACATCGCCACTGGGGAGACAAAGACGTCCGGGCGTGCTGTTGGCCACCCACCCCCTCGTGTGCTGTGCCGGCCTTCACAGGTGCTCGCTAACAGCACTTGCCCAAACAGTCTATTAAGGCTATACAGGAGATATTTGTCTTTTTTTTGTTTGTGGTTACGGGCGACTCAGCCTTAAATGAACACATGGTACAATATATAAACGTCAGCATTAGGAAGACAAAGGCGGCCAGGTGTGGTGCTGGCCACCTACCCCCTCGTAGGTGCTGCTTGCAAAGGGCCCTTTGCCCCAGCAGCCTGTGTGGGCTGCACGGGTGAGCTTTGCCTTTATTGTTGTCGGTAGGAGGCGTTGCTCCGGCCGTGTGGGAGGACATCACGGACACGACCCCACTGACCGTGTCCGGAGACAGCCTGACCTTCCAGACCAGCGTGTCGGCACGGTAACCGCATGCGCGCACACACATGGGCAGTGGCGCACACACACACGCATACGTGGGTACGTGCCACAGCACGTGGGCGCTGTCGTTGATTCGGGGTGTACCAGCGTGTACCTGTGATGGGTGGAGTGGTGGAACACCGGTAAGTGCACCGCGCTCCGATACCGGCGACCAGAGTTGGATTCCCGCTCACTACCAACACCGGTGGCGAATATCCAAACCGATTCTGGGTTTTCTCTTGGTCCAATTAGTATTTGGTACAGTGTGCAAACATCAGCACTGGGGAGACAAATACGGCCGGGCAAGGCTCTGGCCATCCACCCCCTTGTTCTGGCCTTCATATGTGCTTGCTAACAATTGCCCTAACAGTCTGTAAAGGCTATGGTGGCTGATCTTTGTCTTTGTAGCCAACCCAAGGCACCTGGGTCTGTCCCGTGGCCTCCTGCCAGCAGACATACTTCGCCACTCCACGTGGCCTCAAAGTGCACTGAGCCCGGTACAAGCAGTGTGGCGACGTCACTGCCACTTAGTGGGCAACGGCGATTGCCGTCGTATGTTGTTATAGTCGCTGTGATAGTAATAGCTTTTTACCCTTTCAACTGGTACAAAAACTGACACCTTTATACAAGGCATCATGTTTGCGTTAACCACAACACAAGCAGTCAAAATGCAAACAAAAGGCGTCTGTTGGCGTCATCTGTTCCAACACCAATGGAGACGAGGCTCTGAGAAAAGCTGTCTCGGTTGTGGACCAATAAACTTCAAGGACAGTGCATATCATTATCATCATCAGAGTTGTTTCTTTTTGTTTGCATTATGACTGCTTGTGTTGTGGTTATTGCAAACATGATGCCTTGTATAAAGGTGTCAGTTTTTGTACCAGTTGAAAGGGTAAAACCCTAATGCAATATTTTGCCACTGGTAAAGGTCTCATAGTGTAGTCGCTGTGATGTCACGTTTTCCCGTGGTCACCACCCGCCGACCCCCCCCCCCCCCGCTCCCCCTCACCCACCGTGATCAACCACGTGGTCATTCCCCCACGGTCGCGCCCCCACCCCAACCACCGCGCAGGTTCTGGCCGGTGCTATGCACGGCCGCCCGCGACGCCCCGGCGCTGGCCCCCCTGGCGTACGGCGAGCTGTCCCGCGTGCCGTACCTGGCGCACTTCCGCGTGTGGGCTCGGCGCCACGACGCCGACCCGCGGCTCGCGCGCCTCTCCTGCGCCTGCGCCTGCGAGGAGCGCGACGCGGGGGGCGGCGGGTCAGGGGGGGGCGCTCCCGCGCGGGCGCGCCACACGCAACTGGCTCGCAGCAAGACGGTGGAGGTGGGCGCACGCACACGCACTGGCACATGTGCTCAGACACGCGTGCGTGTATGCGTACACCGACGTACGCACGAGCACGGATGCACTCACACGCGTGCGCGAACACGTGTGCACGCGCTCGTACGCATGTGTATGCACAGTGTGCGCACACGCGTGAGCGCAGGAGCACACAAATGCCAGGAAAGATGAGTACACACACACGGGCAGGTGTGAACACACACACACACCCACAGTGACCCAGCCAGCATCGGTGATGGTTATCTGAACTGGTTTTGGGCCTCCCCTAGGTGGACTGAGCCTCAAATGAGTACCTGCTGCAATGTGTAAACATCGCCACAGGGAAGACAAAGGTGGACAGCCGAGGTGCTGGCCATCCACGGCCTCGTGTACCATGCCGGACTTCATAGGTGCTGATCTCGAACAGCCCTTGCCCTGGCAGTCTGTTGAAGGCTGCATTGGGAACTTTGTCTTTGTGTGGTGCGTGTAGGTGCTGGACGGGGCACCCCTTCTCGTTAGTTGCCAAGGAAACCTGACTCCATTGACCCCACGGGGTCAGGGGCTGTCGCTGCCGTTCCACGCGTTTCGCGAGAACCGCCTATCGTTCGGCGTGAAGGTGACAACATCATGTGCATGCGTGTGCCGCGGCGTGTGCGTGTGCCGCGGTGGCGTGTGCGTGTGACACGACTGGCATGTGACACGGCGCGCGTGTGCGTGTGACACGGCGCGCGTGTGACACGGCGCGCGTGTGCGTGTGACACGGCGTGTGTGTGTGCGTGTGACACGACTGGCATGTGACACGGCGCGCTTGTGCGTGTGACACGGCGCGCGTGTGCGTGTGACACGGCGCGCGTGTGCGTGTGACGGGGCGCATGTGTGCGTGTGACATGGCGCGCGTGTGCGTGTGACACGGCGCGCGTGTGCGTGTGACACGGCGCGCGTGTGCGTGTGACACGGCGCGCGTGTGCGTGTGACACGGCGCGCGTGTGCGTGTGACACGGCGCGCGTGTGCGTGTGACACGGCGCGCGTGTGCGTGTGACACGGCGCGCGTGTGCGTGTGACACTGCGCGCGTGTGCGTGTGACGGGGCGCATGTGTGCGTGTGACACGGCGCGCGTGTGCGTGTGACACGGCGCGCGTGTACGTGTGACGGGGCGCATGTGTGCGTGTGACACGGCGCGCGTGTGCGTGTGACACGGCGCGCAAGTGCGTGTGACACGGCGCGCGTGTGCGTGTGACGGGGTGCATGTGTGTGTGTGACACGGCGTGCATGTGTGCGTGTGACACGGCGCGCGTGTGCGTGTGACACGGCGCGCGTGTGCGTGTGACACGGCGCGCGTGTGCGTGTGACGGGGTGCATGTGTGTGTGTGACACGGCGCGCATGTGTGCGTGTGACACGGCGCGCATGTGTGCGTGTGACACGGCGCGCGTGTGCGTGTGACACGGCGCGCGTGTGCGTGTGACACGGCGCGCGTGTGCGTGTGACACGGCGCGCGTGTGCGTGTGACACGGCGCGCGTGTGCGTGTGACACGGCGCGCGTGTGCGTGTGACACGGCGCGCGTGTGCGTGTGACACGGCGCGCGTGTGCGTGTGACACGGCGCGCGTGTGCGTGTGACACGGCGCGCGTGTGCGTGTGACGGGGCGCGTGTGCGTGTGACACGGCGCGCGTGTGCGTGTGACACGGCGCGCGTGTGCGTGTGACACGGCGCGCGTGTGCGTGTGACACGGCGCGCGTGTGCGTGTGACACGGCGCGCGTGTGCGTGTGACGGGGTGCGTGTGCGTGTGACACGGCGCGCGTGTGCGTGTGACACGGCGCGCAGTGTGCGTGTGACCGGGCGCGATGTGTGCGTGTGACACGGCGCGCGTGTGCGTGTGACACGGCGCGCGTGTGCGTGTGACACGGCGCGCGTGTGCGTGTGACACGGCGCGCGTGTGCGTGTGACACGGCGCGCGTGTGCGTGTGACACGGCGCGCGTGTGCGTGTGACACGGCGCGCGTGTGCGTGTGACACGGCGCGTGTGCGTGTGACGGGGCGTGTGCGTGTGACACGGCGCGCGTGTGCGTGTGACACGGCGCGCGTGTGCGTGTGACACGGCGCTGCGTGTGCGTGGACACGGCGCGGTGTGCGTGTGACACGGCGCGCGTGTGCGTGTGACACGGCGCGCGTGTGCGTGTGACACGGCGCGCGTGTGCGTGTGACACGGCGCGCGTGTGCGTGTGACACGGCGCGCGTGTGCGTGTGACACGGCGCGCGTGTGCGTGTGACACGGCGCGCGTGTGCGTGTGACGGGGTGCGTGTGCGTGTGACACGGCGCGCGTGTGCGTGTGACACGGCGCGCGTGTGCGTGTGACACGGCGCGCGTGTGCGTGTGACACGACGCGCGTGTGCGTGTGACACGGCGCGCGTGTGCGTGTGACACGGCGCGCGTGTGCGTGTGACACGACGCGCGTGTGCGTGTGACGGGGTGCATGTGTGCGTGTGACACGGCGCGCGTGTGCGTGTGACACGGCGCGCGTGTGCGTGTGACACGGCGCGCGTGTGCGTGTGACACGGCGCGCGTGTGCGTGTGACACGGCGCGCGTGTGCGTGTGACACGGCGCGCGTGTGCGTGTGACGGGGCGCGTGTGCGTGTGGGGAGCAGTAGTGCAACTGTTAGTAAGCTGCGCTACCAATCCGGCGGCCCGAGTTCGATTCCCGCTCACGGCCAACAACTGTGACAATTATCTGAGCTGGTCTTGGATCTCCCCTAGGTCAACTCAGCCTTAAATGAGTACCTGGTGCAGTGTGGAAACATTGCCACTGGGTCGACAAAGGCGGTCGGGCGTGGTGCCCTCCGTACCGTCCTCGTGTACCGTCCTTAACAGATGCTGCTCGCTAGCAGCATTTGCCCCAGCAGCCTGTGTGGGCTACACGGGGAACCTTTGCCTGTGTGTGTGTGTGGTGAGTAGGTGCGTGACCCCAGCCTGGAGCCGTGTGGGCGCCTCTGCTTCTACCAGGAGCCGCGGACAGCAGACGCGACCCCAGTGTGCAGCCTCAACATCACGCTACCGCCTCACGTACGCACTGACACGGTCACGCATACACACACACACGCGTATGTACGCACAGCAGTGGAGGGTAACGCTTTGCGTGTGCGCGCCTCTCTCCTACCCCCCTCCCCCCCCATCCCTCAACATCTCCCGTCGACGTCCACAGGAGCCTCTGGCTGATGAAGATGACGATGTGAGTGACATCGCCCTCTCACACATCACCAGCAGCACCATGTGCCAACATCGGCACAGGTCTTTGTTCAGTGACGTCGCCACGAGGAGGAGTTAACACTGTGCATGTGCATTTGTGTATGTGTGTGCACCCGCGTGTTTGTGTGTGTGTGTGCGCATGTGTGCGTGCGTGCGTGCATGTGTGTGTGCGTACGTGTGTGGTTATGCAGGAACCCCTGTATGATGAGAGTGACAGAGAGTATCTGACGCCAGGTGGGTAGCGCGCACACATATACACACGCGCACACGCGTGCACACGTGTGCACACGCACACACGTACACACACACACACACACAAAGATCCCCCATATAGCCTTAACAGACTGTTGGGGCCGGCATGGCACACTAGGGGGTGGGTGGCCACCACTACGCCCGGCAGCCTATGTCTCCCCAGCAGCGATGTTTACACACCGCACCAGGTACTCATTTAAGAGTCACTGGTGTTGTCCGTGAGCGGGAATCGAACTCAGGTCACCGGATACATAGCGCAGCATGCTAACCGTTGGACTCCCACTCCCCACACGCATACACACACGCATGCGCACATATAGACAAAGGTCTCCTGTGTAGCCCACGCAGGCTGCCGGGGTAAGTGCAGTTAGCGAGCACCTATGAAGACCGGCACTGCGCACGAGGGGGTGATTTGGTGGGTGGCCTGCGCCACGCTTGTAACCACACACACGTGAGTCTACTGCATCTCTGTCTGAGTATGGGTGACCAAGCTGAGACCTAGGCTCTGGGCGGTTCTGGCTGTGGTGTCTCACTGTGTGCGAGGAGGAGGGCACACCACAGGAGGAGGGCACGGGATATGCCGAGTGTTTGTGTGTGTGTGTGCTGCACCCTGTGGGAGCTGTGGGTGTGTGCCGCAAGCTAACCCAGGAGTCTGTGCTCCTCCTGTCCCTCTGTCTCCCACTCTCTGTCTCCTCCTCTCATTCTCCCTCTTTCTTCACCTCCTCCGCCCTCTCCACCCATTCCTGAGTTTTCCTATTGCTGCGGTTTCCACCTGGTTTCTCTCTCGAGCACCAACTTTTCTTTGCTAATTTCTTTGCTCTTTTGTTCTACGCTGTGATGTGCGTGTGCGCGCGTGCCTGTTGCACATTCTTTGTGTGTGCGCCGTGTGCACTATGTGTGTGCGTACTGCCTTGTGTGCATTGCGTGCGTTTTGTGTGCGTGTACATACTGCGTGGCGTGTATGTCGTGTGTACCGTGGACATGAGCTTGCGTGCCTGCCGCGTATGCGTGACTGCGCGTGGCTGTGTGCGTTCGCGCTCTCTCCTTTGCCGTTCACCACCTGCATTTGCGCTGCGCGTACCTGCGCTCCTTTGTGTTGCGCTGCGTGTACCCGCGCACTGCTTGCGTCTGTGGCTTTGGCAATTCGACCGAACAAAAATCCTGTTTTTTTCCCGCCGATCGGCTCCTGCGGTCACTTTGTTCTCATCCCACCACAACCTCCACGCAATTCTGGCTTCCACATTGTTTCCGTTGCGATGGTTTTGTTTCGCCATCCTCCGCTCGTTCTGGATTCATTTGATTTGAACCCCCCCCGAACTGGATTCGTCCAAAAAAACTCGACCGACGATGCCGACGAACGGACACGTCATCGCTGGCTTCACGGACGCAAACGAACGCGCGGCCCAACGTGGACAGAGGAGGGCACGGCACGCTTGTCTCGCGCCATCGATGCAGATGCCGCCAGCCTCAAGGAGGAGGGTGACGAGGTTCTGCGCGTGACGGCGATCCTGGCGCCTGGAGCTCGCAGTCTGGCAGAGGCATCGAGCGTCCGGCTCGAGACCGGGGCACCGGCCGATTTTGTGATGAAACAGGACAATGATGACGACGGTAAAGAGGTGAGCGCGATGATGGCGGCGGCGATCGCTGTCGCACGGAGAGAAGAAGAGGAAGAAGAGGACATCCTGATGAGGCAGCGGGCTCCTCCTCGCACGGTCGACATCGTCCGTTCGCTGGCATTTGCAGCGCCGGGTCGCGCCGAGGAAGGCGCCACGTTCGTCGCCGCCGATGCTACTGCCGCTGCAATGTCGGCTGCCAGTGAGGAGGACGAGGAGATGGAGGGTTTGTCGAGCGAGGGCTGGGTGGTGTTTGGAGCACGCGAGGTCTCAGAGGCCCAGGAGCTGGCCCTGCGGGAGGCCAAGGACGAGGAGGAGGATGAGGTCTTTGCTCCGACCCAAACAGTTGTTCGCATGACCATGTTTACGCACAGAACGACAACTCTCGCAAAGGCGAGTACTGCGAAAATTGACGACGTAGCAGCACCCGGCCCAAGAGTCGACGACGAGCCGGAAGAGGAAGAGGAGGTGGAGAAACTGGCGTGCATTTCTCTGTCGGGATCATCTTCCCTTGAGGAGCGAGGAGCGTTCAGGACTCCCCCAACATCGCCAACCGAGCTGGGGAACACGGGGTCACGTGGGGTTGGGACGGAAGTGAAGCGACGGGTTCTGTGGGTGACGAGGGGTGGGGAGGTGCAGGAGGAAGATGAGGACGATGCGACCATGGGGCCACGTAGCAACGCGGCAGAAAGGCATGGCCCGATGCCAACTGACGATTCAGCTCTACCAGAACCCAGCGCCGACCTAGTGGGTAGTAAACAACTGGAACTGAGGCTGCAAATGAAAACAGGAGAGCCAAGGGAGAGCGGGGAGGGACCTGCACAGGAAGAGGCGGCAGAACAAAAACCACCAGAGTTGGAACTGTGGCTGAGGAGCGAACAGGAGACTCGATCACCCACTATCGCCACCGCTATCGTCGCCGCCGTCAAAACCCAAACGGGAGTTCCCAGGCACAAGCCAAGCTCGGGATCGGAACCAAAGCCAGATTTGGCATCGGTCCTCGACGTGACGGCGGGATTGGCGAGCCGCGAGTACACTGTGGTGACGGAGTCCTGGGCCAGGGGAGGCCGCCAGGGCGGTGGGCGCGGCAGTCTCGTCAAGCGAGTCACCACGCGCCACATCACCGCCGCCGCAAACGTACGGCCGCCGGTCAGCGCCACCACCGCCGGCGACGGCACAACGACGTGGAAGGATGCGGAGGGTCCAGAGACATCGCTGGAAGGCCTCGGTGCAGCCCAAAGGGAGTCAGGTGGAGAGGCTCTGAAGGTCAGTCGAGCAGAGGATTCCTTGCCAGAAACCGAAATGGTATCGGCGGAAAGGTCGGCACTTGCCTGCGAAGATCTGGGAAAGCATCGTTTGCCAGAGATGCCCGAGCCCACATCCTTGGCCTCTGCATTCGCCAAGTCCGCGGAAGGACCGGGGGGCCGGCGGGCAGAGGGCCCTATCCCCAAGCTCGCCGTCGGCATGCAGGGGGTCACGTTGCCCACCCCCCCGGCGCTCTCGGAATGCCGTGCCGTGTCGGTGGTGGTGCCGCCAGGCCGGGGCGTAGCCGGCGCCCTGAAGGACGTGGGTGTTGCCCTGCCCCTGGGCCTCCTGCACAAAGTGGCGGCCGCCCACCCTGAGATGACTGCACACGACGAGGAGGCGGACTTCGCGTTTCACAACGTCGACGGCGCAGACGTCGACGGGGGAGACGCGGGGGCTTTAGTGGTGGAGAGGAGGGTGTGGGTGCGCATCATGGTGTTCGGGGCCAACGGTGACACCGCAGCCAACGAGGAGGCCTCAAGGGTGGACCTGACGGGACTCGTGACCACACCCGTCGACTCGTTGCCCTTCGAGGTGTTTCCTCCTCAACAAGCCGAGCTGGACACGGAACCGCGGCTGTCACCTGCGCCGCAGAATGTCACCACTGAGCCGGTGGGGAAATTCACTCCAGATATTGTTCCTGGGTGGTCAAGTCCTGAGATCGTGACAGTCAAGAGTGGAGTGGAGGAACCGGAACCACTCACGGTGTCCGTGAAGGGCCCCGATGATGCTGCGGTGACAAGGGAAGAGCGGAGCGATGAAGTCACCAGAAAGGAACGCTCAGAAGTTTCAGAGAAAGCGATGGCGGATTCGGTCATGGCGTCACGGCCGTCTGACAAGGATGTAAAGCGCAGGGTCGAGGAGGTGAACCGGAGCAGGAGCCGGAAGGAGATGAAACGCGAGGAGGTTATGGTAGAGTTGAGTGAAGAACAACGCAAGATGAGGGAGGAGGTGAAGCTCGGAGTGGAGGAAGCCATGAGCCTGATGATGGGCAGGAAGGCCGAGGAGCTGGATGGAATGAGGAGTGAAGAAGAGAAGATCGCACGTGAGCTCTACTCCACCTACCCAAAGGAGAGTGCAGTGGCGGAGGATCTGTGTGAAGATGTCGCAACGAAACTAGAAGAGCGAGGAGAGGATGGGGACACCCCCACCAGAGTCTCGCGGGCCGTGTTGGTCCTCAAAATTTCTCAATCTGTTTCGGAAGAACCAGAAGTACCAGAAAAAACTGAGCCGGAGGAAACGGCGGAAATGGTGGTAGCGGGCGACGCGGAGACTCGCAACGGGGCAGAGTGGGTCGAGGTGGACTCTGACTCGGAGGCGGCATATGGAGATCTCTCTCTCAAGGAGAGCTCCATTGTTGAGGAGAAGGAGGCGCTGTCCCCCGCGGAGGCTGACGACATTGCTGACGAGGAGACGGAAAAAGAGGAAGAGGAGGAGGATGCATCGGCTAAGAAGGACGCCTTTGTATACCATGCAGATACGACTAGAAGTCTCATCGTGGAAGATGAGGAGGAAGTCGAGAAGAAATTAACGTTCCAGGGAGAGATGAGCGAGGCTTTCCAGCAGGACGAGGAGACGACGCGACGGCAACACCGGCACAAGCTCCAAATTGATTTCCCGCGCACTGTGACGATGCAGGTGGAGGAAAAGGATTACGAGGAGAAGGAGGCGGGCGTGACGAGGTGTGTGAGGATGAGAAACCTAAAGAAGAGCGTCGTGTACCAGCTAACCGGGGCCAGCGGCGAGCACGTGGTCGTGACGCGGAAGAGGACGCAGAGTGACGAGCCAACGCCGCGAGACCATGGGAAACTCCGGAGCCTTCCTGGCGAGGTGCAGCGGATATTCGTCAATGACGATTACGACAGCGGCGACGAGGAGGAGGAGGACAATGAAGAGAATGAAGACGAGGCAGGAAGGTCGGAAGAACGCTGGGTTAGTCGACTGACCCTTGGCGGCAGACGGAAGGCGGTGCAGACAAGGGTCCTAAGGGAAGAGGTCACGGTAAGAAAGGAAAAGGTGATCGAAATATTCCCCTTTGGTGGCCACACCTCAAAGAGTGTCACT